TCACACCAATTTCCTCAATCATTCACTTCACACCAATTTCCTCAATCATTCACCTCACACCAATTTCCTCAATCACTCCTCAATCATTCACCTCACACCAATTTCCTCAATCATTCACCTCGCACCAATTTCCTCAATCATTCACCTCGCACCAATTTCCTCAATCATTCACCTCGCACCAATTTCCTCAATCATTCACCTCGCACCAATTTCCTCAATCATTCACCTCGCACCAATTTCCTCAATCATTCACCTCGCACCAATTTCCTCAATCATTCACCTCGCACCAATTTCCTCAATCATTCACTTCACACCAATTTCCTCAATCATTCACTTCACACCAATTTCCTCAATCATTCACTTCACACCAATTTCCTCAATCATTCACCTCGCACCAATTTCCTCAATCATTCACCTCACACCAATTTCCTCAATCATTCACTTCACACCAATTTCCTCAATCATTCACCTCACACCAATTTCCTCAATCATTCACCTCACACCAATTTCCTCAATCATTCACCTCACACCAATTTCCTCAATCATTCACCTCACACCAATTTCCTCAATCATTCACCTCGCACCAATTTCCTCAATCATTCACCTCGCACCAATTTCCTCAATCATTCACCTCGCACCAATTTCCTCAATCATTCACCTCGCACCAATTTCCTCAATCATTCACCTCGCACCAATTTCCTCAATCATTCACCTCGCACCAATTTCCTCAATCATTCACCTCGCACCAATTTCCTCAATCATTCACCTCACACCAATTTCCTCAATCATTCACCTCACACCAATTTCCTCAATCATTCACCTCACACCAATTTCCTCAATCATTCACCTCACACCAATTTCCTCAATCATTCACTTCACACCAATTTCCTCAATCATTCACCTCACACCAATTTCCTCAATCATTCACCTCACACCAATTTCCTCAATCATTCACTTCACACCAATTTCCTCAATCATTCACTTCACACCAATTTCCTCAATCATTCACCTCACACCAATTTCCTCAATCATTCACCTCACACCAATTTCCTCAATCATTCACCTCACACCAATTTCCTCAATCATTCACTTCACACCAATTTCCTCAATCATTCACCTCGCACCAATTTCCTCAATCATTCACCTCGCACCAATTTCCTCAATCATTCACCTCGCACCAATTTCCTCAATCATTCACCTCGCACCAATTTCCTCAATCATTCACCTCACACCAATTTCCTCAATCATTCACCTCACACCAATTTCCTCAATCATTCACCTCACACCAATTTCCTCAATCATTCACCTCACACCAATTTCCTCAATCATTCACCTCACACCAATTTCCTCAATCATTCACTTCACACCAATTTCCTCAATCATTCACTTCACACCAATTTCCTCAATCATTCACCTCACACCAATTTCCTCAATCATTCACCTCACACCAATTTCCTCAATCATTCACCTCACACCAATTTCCTCAATCATTCACCTCACACCAATTTCCTCAATCATTCACCTCACACCAATTTCCTCAATCATTCACCTCACACCAATTTCCTCAATCATTCACCTCGCACCAATTTCCTCAATCATTCACCTCGCACCAATTTCCTCAATCATTCACCTCGCACCAATTTCCTCAATCATTCACCTCGCACCAATTTCCTCAATCATTCACCTCGCACCAATTTCCTCAATCATTCACCTCGCACCAATTTCCTCAATCATTCACCTCGCACCAATTTCCTCAATCATTCACCTCGCACCAATTTCCTCAATCATTCACCTCACACCAATTTCCTCAATCATTCACCTCACACCAATTTCCTCAATCATTCACCTCACACCAATTTCCTCAATCATTCACCTCACACCAATTTCCTCAATCATTCACCTCACACCAATTTCCTCAATCATTCACCTCACACCAATTTCCTCAATCATTCACCTCACACCAATTTCCTCAATCATTCACCTCACACCAATTTCCTCAATCATTCACCTCACACCAATTTCCTCAATCATTCACCTCACACCAATTTCCTCAATCATTCACCTCACACCAATTTCCTCAATCATTCACCTCACACCAATTTCCTCAATCATTCACCTCACACCAATTTCCTCAATCATTCACCTCACACCAATTTCCTCAATCATTCACCTCACACCAATTTCCTCAATCATTCACTTCACACCAATTTCCTCAATCATTCACCTCACACCAATTTCCTCAATCATTCACCTCACACCAATTTCCTCAATCATTCACCTCACACCAATTTCCTCAATCATTCACTTCACACCAATTTCCTCAATCATTCACCTCACACCAATTTCCTCAATCATTCACCTCACACCAATTTCCTCAATCATTCACCTCACACCAATTTCCTCAATCATTCACCTCACACCAATTTCCTCAATCATTCACCTCACACCAATTTCCTCAATCATTCACCTCACACCAATTTCCTCAATCATTCACCTCGCACCAATTTCCTCAATCATTCACCTCGCACCAATTTCCTCAATCATTCACCTCGCACCAATTTCCTCAATCATTCACCTCGCACCAATTTCCTCAATCATTCACCTCGCACCAATTTCCTCAATCATTCACCTCGCACCAATTTCCTCAATCATTCACCTCGCACCAATTTCCTCAATCATTCACCTCGCACCAATTTCCTCAATCATTCACCTCGCACCAATTTCCTCAATCATTCACCTCACACCAATTTCCTCAATCATTCACCTCACACCAATTTCCTCAATCATTCACCTCACACCAATTTCCTCAATCATTCACCTCGCACCAATTTCCTCAATCATTCACCTCGCACCAATTTCCTCAATCATTCACCTCACACCAATTTCCTCAATCATTCACCTCACACCAATTTCCTCAATCATTCACTTCACACCAATTTCCTCAATCATTCACCTCACACCAATTTCCTCAATCATTCACCTCACACCAATTTCCTCAATCATTCACTTCACACCAATTTCCTCAATCATTCACTTCACACCAATTTCCTCAATCATTCACCTCACACCAATTTCCTCAATCATTCACCTCACACCAATTTCCTCAATCATTCACTTCACACCAATTTCCTCAATCATTCACCTCACACCAATTTCCTCAATCATTCACCTCACACCAATTTCCTCAATCATTCACCTCACACCAATTTCCTCAATCATTCACCTCGCACCAATTTCCTCAATCATTCACCTCGCACCAATTTCCTCAATCATTCACCTCGCACCAATTTCCTCAATCATTCACCTCGCACCAATTTCCTCAATCATTCACCTCGCACCAATTTCCTCAATCATTCCTCAATCATTCACCTCACACCAATTTCCTCAATCATTCACCTCACACCAATTTCCTCAATCATTCACCTCACACCAATTCCTCACTCACCACCCTTCCCCCACCACCCCCCTTCTTCAGACCTGGGCATGGCTCACACCCCACATCTGTGCGCCTCTCTCGGAGGACGAAGACCTCCCTGCTGACACCCACGAGCCGTGCCGTGAGTGCACTGATGATGGTGATGGGGTGTGTTTTTTGAGAATTCTCAAAAATTACTCACAATGGGGTGTGTTGCCATGCCATCTGAGTGAGAATGAGTGCACGAGTGCTGTCTGTGTGAGCGGGTGCTGACAGCATGCTACCTGAGTCACTCCCCACATCTGCGCGTCCCTCTCAGAGCCACTCCCCACATCTGCGCGTCCCTCTCAGAGGACAATGACCTCCCTGCTGACACGCAACCGTGCCGTGAGTGCCATGGCAGTGGTGCGTTGTGGATGGATAACTGAACAGTGTTTGGATAGATGGTGCGCTGATGAAGGCCTTAGAAGGCTTGCAGCGGCTCGAAACCACCCGATTTAAACTATTTGGATAGATGGTGCGAGGAGTTTCGTCGTCTGTGTGTGGTTGCTTGGAGGCATGCCGTCAAGAGTCACGTGGCTTGTAATGTGATGGTAATGACGGTACTGGTCTGTTGACGATGATTCTGTTGATGCTGATTATGATGGTGTGTGGCTTTGATCTTCATGAAAATGTGTGTGCTTCGCCTCCCTTCCCATGCGTCCCCTTCTCCTCGTGTGCTACCTCCACCCCATCCTCTTCTCGCGTCCCCATCCCCCTCCAGCTACCTCGCGTCCCCTTCTCCTCGCGTGCTACCTCCACCCCAACCACAGCCCCCTGCCCCTCGGGTCAATACGCTGTGGAGGACAGCACCACATGCACCAGACTCTACCACTTGTCTTGTGTGCCCCCTTCTCTCCCCCCCCACCACAGCGCCATGCCCCTCGGGTCAATACGCTGCGGAGGACAGCACCTGCGCACCAGGCTCTGCCACTTGTGTTGGGTGCTCCCTATCACATCGCCACGCCCCTCCACCCTTCCCCCGTCTTTCCTCCCCCTAACCACAGCCCCCTGCCCCTCGGGTCAATACGCTGTAGAGGACAGCACCACGCGCACCAGGCTCTGCCACTTCTGCCCACCGGTAAGCCTGCCCGTAGTGTGTGCGTGCGTGCGTGCGTGTGTGCGTGTGTGCGTGCGTGCGTGTGTGCGTGTGTGCGTGCGTGCGTGTGTGCGTGCGTGCGTGTGTGCGTGCGTGCGTGCGTGCGTGTGTGCGTGCGTGCGTGTGTGCGTGCGTGCGTGCGTGGTACATCTCCCGCAGATAAGGCGTGCCACAAGTGCCCCCCGCCATCCCCCACAGGCGCTCACCAGGAACCACTTTGAGCTTCCATTTCCCACACGCCCCACCATCCCATCACAACCCCATATAACCGCACTCAACCTCATTTTCCACTCCCAGGGCCTGGCAGCGCCTCAGTCTCTCCCACGAGTATAGTGTGCCGCAAGTGGCCTTCACAGGAGGTGCCGGTGAAGCCGCTCACCATGAGCCACTTTGAATCGAACTGCTCCCTACCTGCTTCCCTCATGCCCTTCCCCGCTCTCTCTCACCATGGCAGGGCCTGGCACGCAATGCATCCATTTCCTCAACACAACAGACAAGACAAGGCGTGCCGCAAGTGCCCCCTGCCCCTGGGGGAGGTGGCAGGCGGCGAAGGCGCTCACCATATGGACTGCTTTGAGCTGCAATTTCCCACTCGCCCCTCCCCTCCCCTCCCATCCCATCCCATCACAACCCTACTAAACCCCACCTTCCATCCAATGGCAGGGTCTGGCACGCAATGCCTCAGCTTCTTCCACGGACAAGGCCTGTCGCAAGTGTCCCCCAGGGGAGGTGGCGGTGAAGGCCCTCACCATGGACCACTTTGAGCTGCACTTCCCCACGCGCCCCTCCCATCCCATCCCATCACAACCCCACTGAACCCCACCTTCCAATGGCAGGGCCTGGCACGAAACGCCTCTGTGTCTAAAACAGACAAAGCCTGCCACAAGTGCCCCCCAGGGGAAGTGGCGGTGAAGGCCCTCACCATGGACCACTTTGAGCTGCACCGGGGGAAGCTTCCTGACGGCTTCGTGACGGGGTGCAGCGGGGACTGCGGTTCGCTGGGGTGGAGAGTGGTGAACGGGAAGCTGGACTCTGGCAGCAACCATGGCAAGAGTGCCTCTGTAAGATGTGACTGTAGAGAGGCAGGTGTGCCTCTGTAAGATGTGACTGTAGAGAGAAGTACCACCTGTCTTCTCACAAGCTGCTTACTTTCTTCTTTTTTTTTTTTACCTATGTTAGACTTTTCGCTGCTGCATTGCACCCCATTGGACCATCTAGCTCCCTTCTCTCCCTCCTTCCATCACCTTCCCCCCCTTTTCTCAACCCTTCCCCCTTCCCCACCAGGTGTGGCTCTCTTATGACGTCAGCATGGCAGTGGACGGGTAGTGGCCTACGACGTGGACATACCACGGGGGGAGGGGGGGGACCAGCAGTGAGGGCCGCTCTCAGCTCTTCATTCTTCTTCTCTCCTCCCCGTCTCTCCCCCCCTCGGTTATCCCCCTTCAGGTGTGGCTGTCCTACGATGTCAGCATGGCAGTGGACGGGCACGTTACATTCGCCTACGACGTGGACATACCACGGGGGGACCAGCAGAGAGGGCTCTTCTTCTACGTGGACGATCAACTGGTGCTCAACATTGAGGTGCGATGTGCTGCCGAGCGAGTACAGAGAGGGTTTTTTCAAGGCACCCCACCCACACGTCATACCTGCAGTGCAGAGAGGGCTCTTCTTCTACGTGGACGATCAGCTGGTGCTGAACATTGAGGTGAGGTTGTGCTGTCTGTGGGTTGGGTTGCTTTATCATCTTTATCATATTTATCCTCTTTATCCGCTTTATTACCTTCTCCACTGCAGGACGACCCGGTGCCGACTCAGCAGCGCCGACTGGCCCGACAACCAGCCAGCTGTCTTACCCTCGTACCCTCTCCGCCTCCTATCCTTTCTCCCTCCTATCCTTTCCCCCTCGTACCCTCTCCCACTCCTCTCCTTTCCCCCGTCTACTCCCCCCTCTTCATTGCAGGATGACCCGGGTGCTGACTCAGCAGCGCCAGCCGGCCCGACAACCAGTGACACATGGCCGCTGCCAGCTGGCAACCACAGCCTGATGTGGATCTGGGTCACGCTCAACGCTGACAAGGCGATCGCCAGGCGGGACTCGGCTGAGATACTGGATATCACCGTGTGGGGCAGCACTGTGGGGGGCGCACCTGCCTGCGTGCCCATTCCTCCTGGGACAGCGCCTGATCCCAAAACGCTCACCTGGAAGGCCTGTCCCCCTGGTAGGCTCCTCCTCTCCTCCCATCGCATGCTCAACTGAGATACTGGGCATCACCGTGTGGGGCAGCACCGTGGGGGGCGCGCCTGCCTGTGTGCCCATTCCGCCTGGCACAGCTCCGGATGCTGCCACGCTCACCTGGAAGCCATGTCCGCCTGGTAGGGTCTTGTAATACCCCATGCCTCTTGTGGGCTCCTCTCCTCCTCCTAGACATCACCGTGCGGGGCAGCACAGTGGGGGGCAGCACTGTGGGGGGCAGCACTGTGGGGGGCAGCACTGTGAGGGGCGCGCCTGCCTGTGTGCACATTTCCCCCGGCACCGCACCCGATGCCACCACTCTCACCTGGAAGGCCTGTCCGCCTGGTACGTTCGTCCTTGAAACACCCCAAGACGACTCCAATGCCAAGCGGGGCTCTGCAAAAATCCTGGATATTACCGTGTGGGGCAGCACGGTGGGGGGCGCTCCTGCCTGTGTACCAATCCCCCCTGGCACAGCACCGGACCCTGCCACCCTCACCTGGAAGGCCTGTCCCCCTGGTATGCTCCTCCTCTCTTCCTCTCCTCCTGCCCTTCCATTCCTCCTCTTCGCCTCTCCTCTCCCCGGCACAGTGCTGCCCCCGCCCTGACCCCACCACCCTCACCCGGAAGCCAATCCCCCTAGTCCGTCCTTGTAACACCGCATGGGGAAGGGAGATTCTCGACATCACCGTGTGGGGCAGCACGGTGGGGGGTGCGCCTGTCTGTGTGCCAATTCTCCTCTCTGCTCCCAACCCCACCACCCTGAAAGACCTGTCCGCTTGGTAGGGCAGCTTCTTTTCTCCTCGTTCCATCAGTTTTCATCCCCCTTTTTCCCCTCTCCCTTTTCCCTTCACCCACACCTTCTCACGTTCACCTGATTGTGACTGTGACTGTGATTGCTCTTCATGTGTGTGACTGTATGAGCAGGAGAGTACAGCGAGGGATCGGGTCTGCCTTGCGTCAAATGCCCTGCCAACACCTTTAACCCAAGACCCAAGGTAACCCCTCCCCACTCCTCTGAACCCATGGTGACCCCTAAACCCATGGCGAAGCCGTGAAGCCCTTCCATCGCTCCGTCCAAACAGAATCACTCATTCGCTGTCTCATACACTCCCTCTGTCCCTCTCCTTTGTGAGCCCGGCACTGTGGCGCCTCCTCCCTGGCATCCGACTTTTGAGGCGTCTCAAAAGTCAGCACGGTGGCACCTTATTTCATTCCTCCCTGGCATTCTCTGTGCGCCAGTCCCACTTTTTCCCGTATTCCTTCCTGGCATCCCACCAGGGAACCCACTCCTCCTGCCTCCCCTGTGGACCCGGCACCTCGTCCCTCCCAAGCAGCACATGTCCCACTCATCCCTCATTCCCTTCCTGCTATGCCTTTCCCCTTTCCCTTCCTCCCACCAGGGCACCCACTCCTCTTGCCTCCCCTGCGGTCCCGGCACCTCGTCCCTCTCAGGCCGCACAGCATGTATCCATGTGCCTGTTCCACTCATCACCATTCCTGTTTCCATTCTCTTTCCACTCTTCCCATCCCACCAGGGAACCCACTCCTCTTGTCTCCCCTGTGGACCCGGCACCTCGTCCCTCCCAGGCAGCACAGTTTGCATGAGTGCCTGTCCCACTCATCCCCATCCCCGTTCCCGTTTTCTTTTAACTCTTCCCATTCTCTTTCAACTCTTCCCATTCTTTTTTCCACCAGGGAACCCACTCCTCTTGTCTCCCCTGTGGTCCCGGCACCTCGTCCCTCCCAGGCAGCACAGCTTGCACTGTTGGTGACGTCACTGTTCCCTCCTCCTTTCTCTTCCTGCGCTGCCTTTCCCCTTCCCCTTTTCCCTTTCCCTTTGGCACCCAGGGAACCCACTCTTCTTCATGCCTCCCATGTGGTCCCGGCACCTCATCTCTTCCAGGCAGCACTGCTTGCACTGTTGGTGACGTCACCATCCCCTCCTCCTTCTGCACCTTCCAAGTAGCTTCTGATCCTACCACCCCCAGCAGCAGCAGCAGCAGCAGCCACCGCCACCAGCAGCACAAGTGAAACCAATGCTAACACCACCACCACCACCAACCCCTCCCCCTCCACTCCACCCGCCTCCTCCCCTCCAATCGTCTACGATCTCTCGCCTCTCTCCCGCGTCCATCCTGGCCGCATGTTCGGGCCGATCTTCGAGGATCCAACGGCTGCGGATCGCCAGCACGGACCCCTCTACTTCGTCTCTGTGTGTGCCGCACCTGCAGGGGGCACAGAGGGCGGAGATAAAAAAGTGGGGAGCACAGAGGGAGGGCAGGGTACGGAGGGAGGGGGTGGTGGGGAGGGCAAGGAGGAGAAGCAGGGGAAGGGAAGGGCGATGGAGTGTACTGATGCAGAAGGCAAGCCGATAGCAACCATGGCATGTCGGGTGAGTGTTGAACCACAGAGGAGGGAGGGGGGTTAGCTAGGGAGGGGGTGGTGGTGGGGAGGGAAAGGAGGGGAAGCAGGGGAAGGGAAGGGCGATGGAGTGTCCAGATGCAGAAGGGAAGCCGATAGCAACCATGCGGCTTCCCTTCCCCTGCATGCGGCTTCCCTTCCCCTGCATGTCGGGTGAGTGTTAGATGAGAGAGATAAGAGCGGGTGCAGAGAGAAACGAGGGGAGGTGAATGAAGGGCGATGGAGGGAAGCCTATAGCAACTATGGCATGTCGGGTAAGCCGAATGGGAGACGAGGGCAGGAGAGTGGAAGGGATGAGAGGAAGCAAGGAAAGAGAAGGAGTAGGCCAAGCTCTTCCCATGGAGCGGCGGTTCAATGGAAGGGAAGGGCGGTTCAATGGAAGGGAAGGGCGGTTCAATGGAAGGGAAGGGCGGTTCAATGGAAGGGAAGGGCGGTTCAATGGAAGGGAAGGGCGGTTCAATGGAAGGGAAGGGCGGTTCAATGGAAGGGAAGGGCGGTTCAATGGAAGGGAAGGGCGGTTCAATGGAAGGGAAGGGCGGTTCAATGGAAGGGAAGGGCGGTTCAATGGAAGGGAAGGGCGGTTCAATGGAAGGGAAGGGTGGTTCAGTGGAGTGTACGAAACCCCCCGCTCCACCCCGTCCTCCTCTACTCTGTTGTTTTCGTAGACTAGAACTGCTGTGTCTTGACTCTATTCCGATCTTCAATCCTCCCCGTTCCCTTCTCTGCTGTTTCCAGGTGAATCCTCAGGTGATGCTGGACAAGGGTCCCACAGTCTAGGCGACCGGGTCTCCCTCTTCCCCCTCTTCCCCCTCTCCCACCCCCTCACTCAGAGCAACCGACACCCCCTCCCACCCTCCGACTGCCACCAATCCTCTCCCCAACGCCCCGGATTCTCTCTAGGCGCGGAGGGGCTGGTGATGGCGCTGAAAGGGAAGGGGAGAAAAATTACCAGCTGTGCCTTGCCTTCATTCTTATCTCCTTTCCTCCTCCTCCCCTTCTCTGTTGCGCTCAGGTGAATCCTCAGGTGATGTTGGACGAGCAGCATCGAGGGTCTCACAGTCTAGGCGACCGGGTCTCCCTCTTCCCCCTCTCGTACCCTCCAAACGCCACTGAACCCCTTTCCAACCGTCCTGAACCCATCCTTGCGCGGAGGGGGTTGGTGATGGTTCTGGAAGGGGAGAGATGCCCTTTTTCCATGCAGGGGGGAGGGGGGGAGCAGAGCAGATGGTGGATGGGGGGGGATGCGGAGAAGGGGAAGGGGAACGGGAAGGGGAAGGGGGAGGGCGGGGAGGAGAAGTATGGACGGCTGACGATCACGTTCATATGTGACCCGAATGCAGGTGAGTGCAGTCTGTGTGTGAGACTAGTAGGAGGAAGAGTGGCAGTGCCAGCATGGGAGTGAGGTGAGAGGTATGGACGGCTGACGATCACGTTCATATGTGACCCGAATGCAGGTGAGGGGAGTGGCAGTGGCAGCATAGGGGTTGGTGAGTGCGTGAGAGAGGCCAGCAGGCAAAAGGGGAGAGTGGCAGTGCCAGCACGGGCGGGGAGGGGCAGTGTTAGCATGGGGGAACGGGGGAGGAGAGGTATGGACGGCTGACGATCACGTTCATATGTGACCCGAATGCAGGTGAGTGAGAAGAGGAGGGGGGTGGCATGAGATCAGGAGGACAAGAGAAAAGTGGCGGTGTTGGTGCGAGCAAGGGAACTGAGTGGTTGGTTTCTTTGAAGGCACCCATGCAACCTTCCCCGTTTTGCGCCACTCTTAACTCCTCGTTCCTTCTATTTCGAGTCCCCAAGCTCTGTTCTTCCCTTCTCCCCTCCTCCCTTCTCCCCTCCTCCCTTCTCCCCTCCTCTCTTCTCTCCTCCTCCTTCTCCCCTCCTCCCTTCTCCCCTCCCCGTCCCAGGCATCGGTCACCCCTCTGTCTGGACGGAAGAAGGCAGGCGGGCAGCATTCAACGCGTCTCTCCCTTTCCCCGTCCCCTCACATCATTATTCTCGTGCTACCCATTCCCCTGATTCCCTCCCTCCCTCCCTCCCTCCCTCCCTCCCAGGCATCGGCCACCCCTCCCCCTGGACAGAAGAAGGCAGGCGGGCAGCATTCAACACGTCTCTCCCCTTCCCCGCCTGGACCAAGCGGGGGGGGGATCTACTCCCTGTCACACAGGGGGGAGATGAGGTGGTGCCGGGGTGTGCATATGAGCTGGCGTGGTACAGCGCGTATGCATGCCCGCTGTGCTCTGAGGAAGATGTGGAGGAGGTTCCAGTAGCGGATTGTCACAACAACAAGCGAGCTACGTACAAGTACAGGCATCCAAGGGTGAGTGTGAGAGGAGCACAGGGGGGTGGTGCCGGGGTGTGTGTATGAGCTGGCGTGGTACAGCGCACATGCATGCCCTCTGTGCTCAGAGAGAGATGTGGAGGAGGTGCCAGTGGCGGATTGTCACAACAACAAGCGATCGACTTACAAGTACAAGCACCCAAGGGTGAGTATGGTGTGAGGGCGAGTGCATTATACCAGTATTCATGAAGTCAGGGTGCCGGGGTGTGTGTATGTGCTGGCGTGGTACAGCGTGTATGCATGCCCGCTTTGCTCTGAGGAGGATGTGGAGGAGGTGCCAATAGCGGACTGCCAACACAACAAGCGATCCACCTACAAGTATCGGCATCCACGGGTGAGTGTGGGGTTGTGAGGGGGAGGCGACGGGGTGTGCGTATGAGCTGGCGTGGTACAGCGCGTATGCATGCCCGCTGTGCTCTGAGGGAGATGTGGAGGAGGTGCCAGTGGCAGATTGTCACAACAACAAGCGATCGACTTACAAGTACAAGCACCCAAGGGTGAGTATGGTGTGAGGGCGAGTGCATTATACCAGTATTCATAGAGGCAGGGAGGGCGGGGGAGATGGGGTGGTGCCGGGGTGTGTGTAGGAGCTGGTGTGGTACAGCGCGTACGCGTGCTCTCTGTGCTTTGAAGAAGACGTTGAAGAAGTGCCAGTGGCGGACTGTCACAACAACAAGCGATCCACCTTCAAGTACCGGCATCCAAGGGTGAGCCTCTGAGCAACACAGGGGGGAGATGAGGTGGTGCCGGGGTGTGCATATGAGCTGGCGTGGTACAGCGCGTATGCATGCCCGCTGTGCTCTGAGGGTGATGTGGAGGAGGTGCCTGTAGCGGACTGCCACAACAACAAGAGAGCAACCTTCAAGTACCGGCATCTAAGGGTGAGTGTGAGAGCAGCACAGGGGGTTGGTGCTGGGGTGTGTGTATGAGGTGGTGTCGTACAGCGCATATGCATGCCCTCTGTGCTCTGAGGAAGATGTGGAGTAGGTTCCAGTGGCGGACTGCCACAACAACAAGAGAGCAACTTACAAGTAACACAGGGGGGAGACGGGGTGGTGCCGGAGTGTGCGTATGAGCTGGTGTGGTACAGTGCCTATGCGTGCCCTCTTTGCTCTGAGGGAGATGTGGAGTAGGTTCCAGTGGCGGACTGCCACAACAACAAGAGAGCAACTTACAAGTAACACAGGGGGGAGACGGGGTGGTGCCGGAGTGTGCGTATGAGCTGGTGTGGTACAGTGCCTATGCGTGCCCTCTGTGCTCTGAGGGAGATGTGGAGTAGGTTCCAGTGGCGGACTGCCATATCAGCAAGCAAGCTACTTACAAGTACAGGCATCCAAGGGTGAGCGTGTGGGTCTGTGAGGCGCTATGGCAGCACGTTGCCTCCCCTCTCTGCTTCAGCACATCGAAACAGAGGTGACTTTTGAGTCAACTCAAAAGGCATCTGAGGGTGAGTGTGTGGGTCTGTGTTGTGCTATAGCAGCACGTTGCCTCCCCTCTCTAGTTCGGCACCTCGAAACACGCTAGCTCCCCTTTGCGCCGCTCCCCTTTGCGCCTCTCCTATCTCTCCTGTCTCTTCCCTCCTCCCATCCCTTCCCTCACCAGGTGTGTCAGCCCAACGCCCAGGCTCCTCTCCCTCCCGACCAGCTATGCTCCCCGTGCACTGCAGACGACTACAGTAGCTTCCAGCAAAGCTGCACCTCCTCTCTCCGCCTCCCACATCTCCCTCTCTCCTCTATCTCCTCTCTTTGTCCTGCCCCCATCCCTTCTCCCACCAGGTGTGTCAACCCAACGCGCAGGCCCCTCTCCCTCCCGACCAGCTATGCTCCCCGTGCACTGCAGACGACTACAGCAGCTTCCAGCAAAGCTGCACCGACAGCGCGGGCAACCACAACGTCTCCTACTCCTGGAACCTGCCCAAAAACTGCAGCGAGAACCTGCCCGGAGCAGTAAAACTGCCCGAAAATGTTATTGTTGGAGAGTGCCTGTTCGAGGTTCGATACATCCCGGCGAAATACCTCGCTCCGAAATACATAATAATCACAGCGGCTGGAGCTACTGTGATTGTGATGCTGGCGGTGATGTCAGTAGTAACCTGGTTACACAGCAGGAAAGTGTACTCCATGTACTCACAGCTGGTAGCAGAGGAGGTGCAACTTGAAGCAGAACTGGCAGCCATGGCTGAAGAGGCAGACCAGGAGAGGGAAGACATGCTGTTCAATCGAGACCACAGTTACCCCTCATAACGAGATGCCTTATGAAGAGGATGAGGCTGCAAGGTACGCTCAGCTAGTAGCAGAGGAAGTGCAGCTGGAGGCAGAACTGAAAGCCATGGCTGAGACAGCAGATCAGGAGAGGGAGGACATGCTTTTCGATCGATGCTCTAGTTACCCATCTCAACGTCCTGTCACGAGGATAAGGGTGCAAGGCGCGCGCAGCTGGTAGCAGGGACATCGCAGCCCGAGGCAGAACTGGCAAGTTGGCAGTGCAACCCACATGGCTAAGGGGGCAGATGGAAAGAGGGAGTTATGGTACCGTCTTCTTTTCAACCGGGACACAAACTACGCATCAGATGTGATGTGATGTTATTGTCACGACTCGTGAGATGAAATTGTTTGTAGCACATCAACCAGTCCCAAGTCCCACACCACCAGACCAAACCCTTTGTGCAGTTCTGTACGAAATGAACACCCTTTTCCATTCCTCTTGCTGAATCTTTCAAATTGCTGTTTAGTACGAAGTGCTGTCAACACCGTAAGCTGCATGCGTGTACTGCAAGTTTCCCAGGCTTTCTTTCCAGCATGGATCAGCATCACTCCACAGCCGCATTTACATGCATTGATGAGCGCCTCTTCTTTTGGTTGGTTGTAACACCTCCTTTCACGACAAAAGTTTGAGGGAATGTGCCCCAACACCAATGAGTGACTCCAGAATTCCATCCAGCTCATGCACTCCGCCTCGAACTCCTCTGTACACCTGACACCACAATGTCACTTCACATGCACCTTACAGATATCCTCATAATCAATCCTTGAAATCACCCTCCCATCGAACGCACCCTTCTGAATCTCCACCTTTGCACAAAACTTCTCCGTGTCAACCCCCACCAGCTTTGCCAGGCTACCCCTGTACGCCCCATTCACAATCCTCACCACCCCTCCAATCTGCGGCAGCACCGTTTCCAACTCCTCCTGATCCACCCTTACCACATGCCCCTCTTCCAATGTCTTAATCTCACCAACGTATCTATCTATCACTCGCAGCACCACGCCTTTCTGCTTGTAATACCCTTTCTCCTTGAGCACTTTGCTCATAATCTTCACTACAATGCCCTCTGTAAGCCAGTAGTCCTTCCGATTCGCCTTCTCCTTTGCCCTCTCCTGCTCTTCCATTAACGCTGCTAGGGTTCCCCCAGCAGCTTTGCCAGCACCTGATTTGGACCCTGTTTTATCCTCATTCTCCCCACCTCGCTTTGCCTTTTTCCCCACCGAAAACCCATCACCAGCCCCATCAGCATCATCATCCTCTACACCAAACACCGGCGCTCCTGTTTTACTCTCCACCTGTAAACCACCACCACCAACACCACCTGCTCCTGCTCCTGCTGCTGCAGCGCTGCTCCCTCCTGGCTTCTGACTCCCACCTGCCTTCTGCGCTCCAGACGACCCACTCCCTCCACCTCCTCCTCCCAACCCTCCAAACGCAAACGCGATTTTCTCTCCCGTGTTAGGATCGCGCTGCAGGACCTTCTTTTCCGGATCCACAGCTTTTTCCGCCGATTCCTCTGGCTGCTGCTGTTTCGATCTCGCCCGTTCAATCTGCTCCTGAATCTCCTTCTCGTGTCGCTCTTCCCCCACCAGCTCCGCGCGTTCCCGCTTCTTCTTCTGCCCTTCCTTGAACAGCGTTTCCGGCTCGCGATCGATGTAAGATATGAACCAGCCCTTGGGAGTATCCTCGACTTTGCAGAGGCCTTCCCTGCCGAGATGCTTGACGAATTCCGTTAACGTCAACCACTTGGTAGAGTTCATGTGGATGTGGTGCCGGTCCGCGATGTACTCGTTATAAGCGACCGTCGCGGCCACGCGGCTGAACCTGTGACTACGTCGAATGTGCTCCATGAACGTTTTTTCGAATTCCTCGGAATAACCTCCCACGAATCGTTCCGGGTTCATGCCGAAAACCTGCATCTGCCGTTGATGGCCTTCCGACATGCAGTGGCACTTAAAGCCATTCTCGTCGCGGCACTGCTTCTGACACATCTGGCAGTACCATCGCAGCTTCTGCAGTCCCTTGGCTTTAATTCGATTAGCGATGGCCTTCGGCGTAAGAAACTCGTTCTTACCCATGGCTGCTTACCTCAGGGAGTCAAAGCAACTGGCTTATCGTGATGCCTTTACTTGCTGGTAACTCGTTGGATGGTCAGAAAGTGACGCACTTCGAAAACTATTGCGGAATAAGGCCACTCATCAAGCGGTGAATGTGTACGAACAGCAAAAGCGGCGATTATGACACGACAGGTTGATCAGGCTTGTGTCCTTACGCTAGGAGACTTTCCACACACAACGGCGTGACGAAACAAGGCGTACAGAAAGAGAAGCAATGAGGGTGCTTGGAGGTGAAGTACCTACATGAAGAAGCTCCTAGAAGATAATGAAAACGGTCTGACAATTGGTGAAGTTGCAAGAGTGGAAACTACACAAGGGCGTATTCACGATCTGTTCGTGAGCTGGTCATTTACATTACGAGCACTGAAATACGAACTGAAATTGACATGTGTTTACGATGAGACTTTCATAACGCTTTTCTAGGAATGACACATTGTTGATGTCGTTACGCCAAAACTGAATCCCGAGTGCGCCTTTTCGCCATTCATTTCCCACCTGGTTCCACCGATGTGTCCCCAAAAGTTCACAAATGGTTTCGCCATTCAATTGCAGTAGGAGAATTTCATAACTCACTGACTCGTGTAGCGATATATTCAGTAACGCGCAATTGCGTCGCCTTCACTGTCTGCTTTAGTAGCTCCCAGTTGCCGTTACGTTACACACAGCGAGCCAGGAGCGCCGCGTGTACCCTAACAAACTTGGTATCCGTGGAAACCGTAGAAACTAGAACAATTTGATAAACCGTTGACCAATTCTCAGGCGCCTCAAGATCGGTCGATTCCTAAAAGTTCACCTCAGCCGCTAAACATAGTACTTGACATTTCTCAGCGGACATGCGCGCCGAGCCTGGCGATCCAGGATCGCAGAGCAGAGAAAGCGATGATCGCATCGCCGCTACTACTAGCGCGGCTGGCGCTGGTGGTTCCGTGTTCGTGACAGTGGGTACGACGCGGTTCGACGCGCTGGTAGAAGTGGTGGATAGCCGCGAATGCCGCGCGGCGCTGAAGCAGCGCGGTTTCACCTCCGTGGTGGTGCAGCGAGGACGGGGAACGTACAAACCGGCCGAGGTATGCGCTGACGAGGGATCTCTCCTTCTTTTGCACCTCTGAGAGCGTATCTAACCCCGCAGAGCAGAACCCTCTCTCTCGAGCAGCGCGGGTTCACATCCGTGGTGGTGCAGCGGGGACGGGGCACGTACAAACCCGCCGAGGTACGCGCTGGCGAGGGATGTTTCCTGTTTTGGCACCTCTGAAACCGTAGCGAACCCCGCAGAGCAGAGCCCTCTCTCTCTCTCTCTTGAGCAGTGCGGGTTCACCTCCGTGGTGGTGCAGCGAGGCCGAGGAACTTACAAACCCCCCGATGTATGCACTTCTGAGGGGTGATTCCTTTTTCACCTTTGAGAATCTAGCAAACCCTGCAGAGCAGAGCCCTCATTCGAGCAGCGCGGGTTCGCCTCTGTAGCGAGGAGCGGGTTCACCTCCGTGGTGTTGCAGCGAGGGCGGGGGACCATACAAACCGGCCGAGGTATGATCCCTTCTTTCGATTCTGAGAATCTAGCAAACACTGCAGCGCCCTCTTTTGAGCAGCGCGGGTTCGGTTCTCCTCTGTAGCGGGGAGCGGGTTCATATCCGTGGTGGTTCAGCGGGAGCGAGGGGGTTACAGATGTGACTGTGACGAGTTTGAGTCGTGATGGGGTGTCTCCTTGAGTGTCAAGATGGCAGGGCGGCCCTGACAGCACGCTTATGACTATAGGGTGCACAAATGTGACTGTAACGAACATTGAGTAAGATTTATGTGATTTCTGTGGTGCCTCTTTTGTGCTCCTTGCTGTGTGTCAAGATGGCAGGGCGACCCTGACAGCACGGGAGTGACTGTAGGATACACGGACGTGACTGTAACGAGTTTGAGCTTGAATCCTTTTTGTGGTACTGTGGTGCCTCCTTTTTGCCACTCATTGTGCTATGTGTCAAGATGGCAGGGCGACCCTGACAGCACGGGTGTGACTGTAGGGTACGTACACTAATGTGACTGTAATGAGCTTTGAGCAGGATTGTTGTGATTTCTGTGGTGCCTCTGTTGCGCTCCTCGTCCTTTCCCTGTGTCAAGATGGCAGGGCGACCCTGACAGCACCGGTGTGACAGTAACGAGCTTCGAGTTCGCTCCCTCCATGGCGCCCTACATCAAGCAAGCCGACCTCGTTATAAGCCACGCAGGTAACTCTCTCGCTTGCATTCGTAGCCTTTGCAGGAAGGCGGAGGGAGGGCTATGTACGGTCCCTCACCTTCTATCGTCTGTACTACACTGTGCCTTGGTGGTTTCCCTGGACTTGCCTCACTCGCTTGGATTCTTAGCCATTGCAGGAAGGCAGAGGGAGGGCTATGTACCGTCCCTCACTCACCTTCTTTCATCTGCACTACACTGCTCCCTTCCTCCCTCCATGCCCCCTCTCGTCTCCTGCTCCTCCCCCCGCATTCTGTTTCCCTCTCCCTTGCTTTCCCTGCAGGCTCAGGCAGCATATTTGAGGCGCTGAGAGCGCACAAGCCGCTGGTGGTGGTGGTGGCACCGATGACCCTTCCCTCCTCCCCTTTTCCACTTCACTCTCCTTCCCTCACGCCCTCCAGGCTCAGGCAGCGTATTCGAGGCGCTGAGGGCGAGCAAGCCGCTGGTGGTGGTGGTGAACGATCAAGCCCTACCCCACGTTCTGCCTCCCTCACCCCTTCTTCCCATGCACGCCCTACAGGCTCAGGCAGCATATTCGAGGCGCTGAGAGCGAGCAAGCCGCTGGTGGTGGTGGTGAACGGGGCTCTCATGGACAACCACCAGAGGGAGCTCGCAGGGGCACTCGCACACAGGCACCACCTGGTGCAGGCGGTACCTGAGAGCCTGGTTGCTACAGTGCGGGATATGGATTTGGGGGGTTTAGTGCCGTACCCACCACCGGAGGCTGAGAAGTATGCTCAAGCGATAGACGAGTTCCTGGGGTTCTGAGTTGACTCAAAGACATGTGGTGCAGGCGGTACCTGGGAGTCTGGTTGCTACAGTGAGGGAGATGGATTTGGAAGGGCTTGTGCTGTACCCACCACCGGAGGCTGAGAAGTATGCTCAAGCGATAGATGCGTTTCTGGGGTTTTGAGCCGACTTGTAGGGGCATCTGGCAGACAGGCACCATCTGGTGCAGGCGGTACCTGAGAGCCTGGTTGCTACAGTGAGGGAGATGGATCTCGACGGACTCCTGACCACCACTGGAAGCGGAGAAGTATGCTCAAGCGATAGACGAGTTTCTGGGGTTCGCATGAGACGAGGTTCTATTGCAAGTTCTTTCTATTCTATGTCTCACTCACACCGTACCTGGGCTTTGATTCTTTAGGAAGGGTACAGCCTTCTTGTAAGAATAGTAGTTGCATATGTCTTGTTCGTGCTAGCAGTTCCTACTGCAGCACAAAGCAGGATTGACTGCTTTATTGAAGCTGTCTGTATACAAGTGCGGGTTTAGTTAATCGCTCCCTTCCTGTACTTCACAAGTGAATCGCATCAGAAAGGTCTCCTCCTCTGATTGCATTAAGTCAACTCAATAGCCGTCGTTTCATTTATCGAGCGCAGTACAGTTCAGGTTTATCCGCCCCCTCCTGTACCTTGCGAGTGAATCGCATCAGAAGAGTCTCCACTGACTGGCCCGGGCCCTGTAGGTCACTGCAGGAAGACGTATGGAGAGAGGGGAGATGAGAGAGATGTGGGTAGTATCATCGTGCACAATATAGTTGGTGTTTATCAGCCCGTCCTGTCCTTTACGAGTGAACCGCATCAGAAGGGTCTCCACTGATTGGCCGGGGCCCTGTAGGTCAAGCAGTGGTGAGGTGGAATGAGTACCTCTGTTGCCTTCCACCATACATACCCCACATGCCTGAGACACGTACATGAGATAGGGTTCCAGATCCCCCAGGGCCCACATGGGCTGCACGCTTAATATTGCCTGGAAGCGATGCTCTGCCGTGGCGGGCAGCACTACTGCCTTCCACCATACATACCCCACATGCCTCACACACCCCAGCTGCCTCACACACCCCAGCTGCCTCACACACGTACATGAGGTAAGGCTCCCCCAAGGCCCACATGGGCTGCACGCTGAACAGTGCCTGGAAGCGATGCTCTGCCGTGGCATGACTAGCACAGTACTGTGCATGCCCCACACCATCCCGCACACCACACACGTACATAAGGTAGGGCTCCAGCTCTGTTACTGCCCACATGGGCTGCACGCTGAACAGCGCCTGGAAGCGATGCTCTGCCGTGGCTGGCAGCTGGTCACTCGGCAGATACCGCACCCACGTGCTCTGTGCCCCTCCCAACGGCTCACACTCCTGCTCCTCCTCCGTTCTCCCTCCCACTGTCGCTGCTGCTGCTGCATCTGCTGCTGCTGCTGCTGCTGCTCCCCCCCACGTGCTGCAGGATTGCCAGGCCTCTCAGCCACGTGGCGTCCAGGGATTGGGCCATGGTGGGTGGGACCTTGTTTGCCCATGCCTCCATGAAAACAGAGAGGCGCCAGCGAGTGCCTGGGGGAGGTGCATGTGAGGGAGGTGGAGGGGAAGGGTGTATGTGGGCCATGGCGGGTGGGACCTACTTTCCACCTTGTTTGCCCATGCCTCCATGAAGACAGAGAGGCGCCAGCGAGTGGCTGTAAGGGAGGTATTATCCACACGGGTTTGAAGGGGCACGTAAACTAAATCATGCAGCAATGGCGGGAAGCAGTTTGTTTGCCCATGCTTCCATGAGTGCAGAGAGTCTCTAGCGCGAGCCTGGAAGAGGTGAATATGAGGGAAGTAAGCAATTGGGGCGTGTGCTTTTGAGTCGACTCAAATGCATGATATGAGAGGAGAGGCACCTCCTTTGCCCGTGCGTGCATGAAAGCAGAGAGGCGACAGCGAGTGCCTGGGAGAGAGTTTTGAAGGCAGGGGAAGGGAGGTTGAGGTGTGTGCACACAATCACATTCACAGGTTCAGACGGGTGTGAAGTCACAGGTTTAGCAAAGGCGGGTGGGACCTTCTTGCCCATGCTTCCATGAAAGCAGAGAGGCGACAGCGAGTGCCTGGGAGAGAGTTTTGAAGGCAGCAAAGGGAGGTATGGTCCACATGGGTTCAAGTGTGTGGCTAAAAAAGGTGGCACTGGTGGGAGGGTGGGACCTTCTTGCCCATGCATGCACGAATGCAGAGAGGCGACAGCGAGTGCCTGAGGGAGAGTGCTTGCAATGCAGGCTAAAAGAGGTTGATGGATGGTGTGGTGCACATGGGTCTAGAGGGGTGTGAGGATTTTGGGTTCAAGTTTGCAATTTCGAGTTCAGAGTCTGAGGTCTAGGGGTCAGGGCGGAAAGAGTGGTACCTATCTAGCTAGAGCACCAGGTGCGAGGATTCAGGGTTTTGGCGTTTAGCGGTCAGCAGAAGAGACACGGAGGATTGAGGAGAGAGATTCTTGCGGCTGCTTGGCGTAGTGACAAGACGACACACCTTCCTCGCATCCATGTGTGTTTGAGTCGACTCAAACCCCAAGAAAAGCGACGAGGGAGAGTGACACCTGATTTAAGCAGCAACAGTGAAGGATTCAGGGTTTTAGCGCTTAGGGTTAGGGGTCAGTTGGAAAAAGGAACGTGAGTCGGGAGGAGTTGCCTGGCGTAGTGGCGACACACCTTGCTCTCATCCAAGTGTCTTTGAGGCTTAGGGTTGAGGGGTCAGGCCTAGTGACGTGAGTGGGAAGAGGTGAGGGATACCTGATTCGAGCAGCTGCCTGGCATAGTGGCGACACACCTTCCTCTCATCCAACTCCCACCACACACACTCCCCCCCTTCCCCTCCTGCGTCCTTCTCTCCCTTTCCTCCATCTCCTCCGCCACGCTCGCTCTCCACCCCTCCATCATCCCCATCTTCCCTAATCTTCCCCACTCTGACGCTCCTCGCCTCCTCCCACTCCTCTCTCCTCCCCTTCCTCCGCCTCTTGCCAAACACCTTCAGACAGTGCCGAACCAGCTCTGCCCTTGGACCCTCCCTCCTCTCCCCCTCCCTCGCTCCCCCTTCCCCAATTCCCCCCTCCCCCTCCCCCTCCCCCCCTTCCCCGCACATAGCAGCCACAGCAGCAGCCTCGGGAATGGCACATGGCGGCCAGTCATTGGCTGCTGCCGTGAGCAGCAACAGGTGGAGAAGCGAAGCGAGGTATGCTGGGTCGACGCCGCGCCACGTGTCACCAATCTATTGGTCGACACCATGGAGAGGTGGGAGGGCAAGCAGATGTGCGGAAGAGATGGGGGAAACAATGATTGCTTTAGGTGCCTCAAAAGAGGAAAGGGATGTAAAGGAAAGGAGAGAGGAAAAGAGGAACAAGGTGATTATCATTAGCTGATTCAGTTAAGGATCATTATCATTTGCTGACTTCTCCTCACTCGCACTCCAACTGCTTACCTGATTAAAGGATTAGCATGCTACCACTTCTCACCCCCCACTACACAATCTCTTCACAATCTCCCATCCACCTACCACTTTCTCCAACCACCTTGCACCACTCTCCACCCACCTTCACGGCACCAGCAGCCTCCAAACCAGCACGAATCTCCTCCTCGCTCGCTTGCACCCGACCAACCAGCTCCTGCCACGTGTACCCTTTCCGTCTCCCCCTCTTCCCATTACCTCCCTCTCCTCCTTCACCCTCCTTTGCTCCACTATAAATTCCTCCTCCTCCCATCCCACCATCTCCTCTCCTCCGACCCCCTCCCTCCCCTCCTCCCTCTCCCTCCTCGCCCTCCCCTTCGCCCCCTCTCATCTCCTCCTCCTCGTCCTGCTCGTTATAAGCACATGCAGACAGCAGGTGGGTCAGCCGAGCCAGCCTAGGCGCTATAGGGACAACCTCCAGGTGGCTTGATGCAACTGCTGCTGCAGTCACCCTCGGTATTGTCACATTCTGGAGCTTCTTATCTTGCATAATAGCATCTGCACTGCTCAGGGTTTCTGTTGCAATTTCAGGTGCTGCTTCAGGTGTTTTTTCAGGAGATTTTTCACGTGGAGGGACGAGGAGCAGCAGGTTGGTGGTGGTAACCAGCTTGAGAGCGAAGGTGCTGCTGCGAGTGCAGAGAACCGCCTCGTCCCCCTCCTCCGGTGTACCCTTTATAACCAGCCTGCGATTTCATCTTGCATACAACGAGGAGCAGCAAAGATAGGACAAGAACAGGTGCTTATTATGAGGTGAGGGTGAGGAGAGAGAGAGAGAGATATGACAGCAAGGGAGGAGTGTAAGATTAGTAGGGTAGGGAGTAAAGTAAGCATAATAGGTCACATGAACCGGTAAAAAATGCCACAGTTTGTCTAGGGAAGCACGAACCCACGCACGCATCCATACCCATCCACACCCATCCATACCCATTCACACCCACACATCGCCTCTCACACTCAGACGCGCGCGCGCATGCTCCACACTCAGCCCCCCTCACCCATCGTGCTGCTGCCCCGCCAGCATCGACTCGTCAACTTCCAGGAGCTATCACTTGCTCCCCTTCCCCAACTCTCATTCTAAGCCATACTATGCTACATAGCCATACAACTACCCCCCTCAACTCACCCGTCGCGCAGCAGCGCCAGCATCGATTCGTCCACTTCCATCTCCTCTCCCCTCCCCCCCCCCCCCTGCTCCCTCTTTCTAAGCCATTCGCCACACAACACACCCCATCTCCCCCCCCCTCTCCCCCTCTCCCCCCCTCACCCGTCGCGCAGCAGCTCCGCCAGCATCGACTCGTCAACTTCCAGAAGCTTCAGCTCTCCCCCTTCCGACCCCGCTCCGCCTCCCCCGTCCCCGGCGCTTCCCCCTCCGCCGGCTGCGCGCGCCTCCTGCTGCAGGAACGGCAGCAGCGAATCACGGCACGCCAGCTGGACGCTGTCGCCGACGGACATGCTGTTCAGGCGGTCCGCCATGCTGTTGGAAAAATGAACTCCGGTTGTTTCTTAGAATTCTCAACAACTTGCAAAAATGAACCTGTGAGATCGATGGTGTGAATGCTGAGACGACTCTTGGGTCGACTCAAAAGTCGCCGACGGATATGCTCTTCAGGCGGTCCGCCATGGCGCTGCTAAAATGAACTTGCGAAACGAGATCGACGGTGTGGATGCTGAGTCAACTCGAAACATGTCGTTACTGCTCGGACATGTGGCACAGGCGGTCCGCCATGGCGCTACCTGGATGGACCGGCGTCAACGGAGTGTGCGGGCGTGCAGAGATGGACTTGCATCGCTACAGTTGTCTTCGCTAAGTCAGCACAGTGAGAGTATATCGACGCGATAGACTCGCGCCGATAGAGTGGTGAATTCGAGTTCGACATCTGGCCTTTGATCGGTACTCAGTACAAGTTTCTCTGTTCTTGTCAAGAGTAAAGATGCTATACTCTTTGTTTTTTCGCAGTAACAAATCTCTGCATTTCTTCCAAAAAAAACATCTTCTCTAAAATGCTTCATAAACTCACAATATTGCTTTGGTAATCCACTGCTTAATATGGGGCTTGTAGTTACTTCTTTACGACTGCCCATCATACATCCATTTATACTCAAAACTTCACCATCCATCCAGCCATGCATGTGCCACCACATCTCCTCCCCTTCCATGTCATGTGACCTTCCATGTCACCATCATCCTCAGTCACCCTCTTCCCCATCATCATCACCACCACCACCATCACCACACTCATCCCTATGCTATCACAGCAATCACCAGGCTTTCATTTTCATCACTAGCTGCCTAACCTACCCTATTGCCTCCCCTCCATTTCAATCTCTTCAATTTCACCCTCCTCCACTCCCCCATCACCATGCTTTCAGTCCACTATCCCAATCGCCTATATCCTACCGCCTCTCCTCCATCTCAATCTCTTCAATATCATCATCACCATCCTCATCCTCCTCCTCAGCATCCGCAGCAGCAGCAGCAGCAGCAGCAGCAGCAGCAGCCAGAGCAGCCTGCTGTGCCTCCCCATTCATCCCCACCCCTGCCCCCATCCCCCCCGCACCCCCAGCTCCCCCAAAGTCATTCCACGGCAGCATCGCCTCTAGAAACACCATAAGAGGATTCCGTCCCGCTAGATCCACCTGCTGCCCCTGCCCCTGCCCTCCCCCTCCTCCTCCCCCTCCCCCTGCGCCCATCCCCCCTCCCCCTCCGCCTCCGCCGCCCCCACCAGCAGCGCCAGCGCCTGCACCAATCAGGAAGCCGAGGCCGTGGGCTCCCAGGCGGTGCTGCCGGGCGGCTTGGTCTTGTTGCATGGCCATGAGCTCCTGCCGGCCGGCTTGGTCTTGTTGCATGGCCATGAGCTCCTCGGGCGGGAGAGTCGGGGCAGCGTCGGAGAAGTCGGATAGCAGCAGGTGGCGGTATCTGTGAGCCGGGATTGACAGAGGGGATATGAAGGGAGGCGTAAGAAATGAGAGCAGGGCAGAACACGCATTCACTCCTGCCGGCCGGCTTGGTCTTGTTGCATCGCCATGAGCTCCTCGGGCGGCAGAGTCGGGGCGGCGTCAGAGAAGTCGGATAGCAGCAGGTGGCGGTATCTGTGAGCCGGGATTGACAGAGGGGATATGAAGGGAGGCGTAAGAAACGAGAGCAGGGCAGAACACGCATTCACTCCTGCCGGCCGGCTTGGTCTTGTTGCATGGCCATGAGCTCCTCGGGCGGCAGAGTCGGGGCGGCGTCAGAGAAGTCGGATAGCAGCAGGTGGCGGTATCTGTGAGCCGGGATTGACAGAGGGGACATGAAGGGAGGCGTAAGAAATGAGAGCAGGGCAGAACACGCATTCACTCCTGCCGGCCGGCTTGGTCTTGTTGCATCGCCATGAGCTCCTCGGGGGGCAGAGTCGGGGCGGCGTCGGAGAAGTCGGATAGCAGCAGGTGGCGGTATCTGTGAGCCGGGATTGACAGAGGGGATATGAAGGGAGGCGTAAGAAACGAGAGCAGGGCAGAACACGCATTCACTCCTGCCGGCCGGCTTGGTCTTGTTGCATCGCCATGAGCTCCTCGGGCGGCAGAGTCGGGGCGGCGTCGGAGAAGTCGGATAGCAGCAGGTGGCGGTATCTGAGGGCCGGGATAGACAGGGGATATGAAGGGAGGCGTAAGAAACGAGAACGGCAGAGCAGAAGGCCAAGGAACGACGCGTAGCGTGGAACAAACACAGAAAGCAGGCTGCTCTGAACCAACCAGGCAAGAAACATCAGGAGATCCGAGGCAGTTTGAAGAGGTTCAAAGAGATTGGAGTTGGTTCAGAGCACCTGAAAAGGAGATCTGGCACTCACTCACCCTCAAAACTGGTGATGGAAACCACATCTCGCACTGATGCTACATGCCAAACTCCCGTTTCCCTCTTTCCAGTACTACCTTGAACGACATGAGCCGAATACTGACAGTACTCACGCGATGACTCCTGACGGAAAAGACACCTCCCGGACGCACTTCCAGCTCTCCTTCTCGCCGTCCCCCGCAGCCCTCCCTCCCCTACGTCTGTAAAGGCTAATCCCAACCAGCCCAGCACGCAACGCCCTACGAGTTGAAACCAGCACTCACTCATTCTGTCTCGATGACGGAAAAGACACCTCCCGCACGCACTTCCAGTTCTCCATCTCCCCGTCCCCACCGCCCTCCCGCCTCTCCCTCTCCACCGTCCCCACTACATCCCCTGCTACCCTCTTCAGCAGCGCCTGCATGGCGTCCCCCCGCCACAGCACGGCGCTGCGCTCCACATACAACGGCCTAACCCAGGCTACTGTTAAAGGCTACTCCCAACCAGCCCAGCACAGAATACCTGAGAGAAGAAACCCAAAACCAGCACTCACTCATTCACTCTCGATGGCGGGAACGACACCTCCCGCACGCACTTCCAGCTCTCCATCTCCCCATCCCCACCGCCCTCCCTCCCCTCCCTCTGTAAAGGCTAATCCCAACCAACCCAGCACACAACGCCCTACGAGTTGAAACCAGCACTCACTCGTTCACTCTCGATGACGGAAACGACACCTCCCGGACGCACTTCCAACTCTCCATCTCCCCGTCCCCACCGCCCTCCCTCCTCTCCCTTTCCACCGTCGCCACCACCTCCCCCGCCACGCGCTTTAGGAGAGTTTGAACAGCCTCCCCCCGCCACAGCATGGCACTGCGCTCCACGTACAGCCGCACCAGATGCTCCAATGACGCGCTGCCAGGTGTCGTCTTTGAGAACAGTGGGTGCTTGAGAATGTGGGCCCACGACGAGTCAGTCTTAATTGGAGCCTTCTCCACCAGACCCTTGAGGACGTAGCTGGGGGGGGGGGCGAGAGGAGGGGAGGAGGGGAGGTGGGGAATCGGTCCCGGGAGGATGCAAGGGGTCTGTGTTATTAAAAGGGCAGCTCTCTTTTTCAGCAGCGCCTGCACGGCGCCCCCCCCGCCACAGCACGGCACTGCGCTCCACGTACAGCCAGGGAGGAGGGAAGAGGGAGGAGGGGAGGAACAGAGGGGAGCCTCCACGTACAGCCGCACGAGATGCTCCAATGACGCGCTGCCAGGTGTCGTCTTGGCAAAGAGCGGGTGCTTCAAGATGGACGTCCAGGATGTGTCGGTTTTGATCGGAGCTTTTTCTACTAACCCCTTCAGCACATAACTGGTTGAAGGGAGAGGAGAGGAGGGAGGAAGAGAGGAGGGGTTGTCCTCGGGAACAGCGGGTGCGTCATATCTGAGAAAATGCCCTTTGGAACGTAATTGGTGAGAAGAAGACGAGGGGAGGAGGGGAGGACAGGAGGACAGGAGGAGGGGAGGAGGGGGGGAGGCTAGGAGGGAGGAGGGGAGGTTCACACGTCACCACTTGATGATCAAAAGAATTGGGGGAACGGTGGAGATGAGGGTAGGAGACGAACAGGTGCAGGAAGAAGGGATTGCGGAGGAGAGAGAATCGAAAGGGTCCGATGCGAGGTTTTGATCTCTTCACTTGATTATAAAGAGGATGACAGGAGACGTACGGGTGCAGGAAGAGGGCGTCGCGTAGGAGAGACGCGGCGCAAGGGTCCGATGCAATGTTTTAACCTCTTCACTTGATACTAAAGGAGGATGACAGGAGACGTACGGGTGCAGGAAGAGGGCATCGCGTAGGAGAGACGCGGCGTCAGGAGCAGCAGCAGCAGAGGCGGCGGCGGTACGGTTCCTTCCAGCTGGCGACACACCATTGGCTGCCTCCCCACTCCCCTCCCCTCTCTCCCCCTCCCCATCCCCCTCGGCCTCCCCGAGCCTCGCCTGCGCCAGAGCGAAGCAGAAGTTGGGCAGCACAGCCAGTGACGTGTCGCCGCCCCATTGGTCCACGAAATCGTGCAGCCAGGTGAACTGGCGCGCTCTGAGGGAGTAGAAGTCTATGCACTGATGGCGCAGGTAGGATGGGAGAAAGGGGGACAGGGTAGGATGGGAGAAAGGGGGACAGGGTAGGATGGGGGAAAAGGTGGAGGCAGTGAGAGGAGGTGAAACTGGCGCGCTCTGAGGGCATAGAAGTCGATGCACTGATGGGCGAGGGTGGAAGGAGAAACAGGCGGGGAGGAGGTGGGAAACGAGAGCAGAAGGGGAGTGGAGAGTGAGTGAAGGTGAACTGGCACGCTCTGAGGGCGTAGAAGTCGATGCACTGATGGGTGGGTGGGATTGACGGTGGGGGCGAGTGTGGGGCAGCGGGGGGAGGAGGAAGAAAGGAGCACGGAGGAGTAAGTGGTCTTGCAGCCACGTGAATTGGCGCGCCCTGAGGGTGTAGAAGTCGATGCACTGACGGGTGGGTGGGATTGACAGTGGGTTGAGGGTGGGATTGAGGGTGGCGGGAGAAAAGTGTGGCAAGAAGGTGGGTCACGAGAGGGAAAAGATGAATGGGGAGTGAGTGAAGGTGAATTGGCGCGCTTTGAGAGCATACAAGTCAATGCACTGATGGGTGGGTGAAGGGAGGGAGGGGTGAGGGCGAGGGGAGTGTTGAGGGTGCGGGTGAGGTTGGGGGTCTAGATACCTGGAGAGCCCCAAGAGTCTGTGTCAGGATCTAATGAGAGCAGCAGGCGGCAGAGGTCAAAGGCAGAGCAGTGGCAATGGAGCCCCAAGTAGGAGCCATGGCTAGCGTGGCAGCGGCTGTTCTTAGCAAACAGATACTTATGTTAAGTTTTTGCTTGCTTGTAAAAAAACCTTGTGTAGAAAAAATTGGCGGTAACTAGTTTCGGCTCTACGAGCCTTCTTCAGACCACAAGTTCACCCACCCACCTGGAGAGCACCGAGAGAGTCTGAGTCAGGGTCGAGGGAGAGCAGCAGACGGCAGAGCTCAAAGGCAGCGCGGTGGCAGCCCCTGCGACCCACATGGTGCATGTGACGAAACAGAGCGTCGAAGAGGGCTCGGTTGGGCTCGTGTGAGAACTCCAAGCTGGTAGGTGGAGGGAAGGGCGTTGGGGGGAGGCACAGGGATGAGGCAAGAACAGAGCCCCTGCAGCCCCTCTAGCCCCTGCGACCCACATGGTGCATGTGGCGGAAGAGCGCATCAAAGAGCGCCCTGTTGGGCTCGTGTGAGAACTCCAAGCTGGTAAGGGGAAGAATGGCAAGGGAAAGGAAGGACGGAGACCAACAAATGGTTGCTCAATGGGACTAGAATGGCAGGCCAGCAGCCCCTGCGACCCATGTGGTGCATGTGGCGGAAGAGAGCATCGTATAGCGCCCTGTTGGGCTCGTGTGAGAACTCCAAGCTGTTAGGGAGGAGGCAGATGACAGGGAAAGGAGGTGGAGGGTAAGATGAGACTAGCACCCCCTGCGAGCGACCCACGTGGCGCATGTGACGGAAGAGAGAGTCGAAGAGAGCTCTGTTGGGCTCGTGAGAGAACTCCAGGCTGGTAGGTGAAGGAATGGGGAGAAAGAAACAGCCAGATGGTGCTTCAGGATACCAGAATGGCAGCCCCAGCAGCCCCTGCGACCCACGTGGTTTTTGAGTCGACTCAAAAGTCACTCCGAATGGCAGCCCCAGCAGCCCCTGCGACCCACGTGGTGCATGTGACAGAAGAGAGCGTCGAAGAGCGTCCCTGTTGGGCTTGTGGGAAAACTCCAAGCTGGGGGAGGGAAGGGAGTTAGGAGGAGGTACAGGGATGAGACACGTTGTGCATTTGACGGAACAGAACGTCCAAGATTGCCCTGTTGGGCTCGTGTGGAAACTCCAAACTGGTAAAGTAAGGGGAGAAACGGGAAGGGAAAAAAGGAAGGGGACCAACAAATTATGTTCCATTGGGAACAGAATGGCAGCCCCTGCAACCCACGTGGTGCACGTGGCGGAAGAGAATGTCAAAGAGCGCCCTGTTGGGCTCATTCCTCTTGCTTTTGCTGTAATCGGTCAACCATGAAACATGGACGCACTGGCAAGTCCGCAGCGACAGGTTGGTTGAACCACACAGCCTCCAAAAGGAAGACTGCAACAGACATTCCACCACGCACACCCACATAAATGCACCATTGTGGACATGAATGCACTGGCATGCCAATGGAAAGAGCATCAAGGAGCAGAGCAGCCAGCCGTGCACACACATGCACTGTGCCGTGCACACACATGCACTGTGCCATGCACACTCACCGGCAAGTCCCCAGCGAGGGGTTGAAGCAGGGATGCCAGGCCGCTTCCAGCAGGAAGAGCAGCAATGAGCGCTCCACCATACTGACACACGCATATGCAGCGTCTAAGGGCAGAGCAACCATCATATACGCACCGGCATGTCCCCAGCGAGGGGTTGAACCAGGGATGCCACGCTGCCTCCAGCAGGAAGAGCGGCAAAGGGAGCTCAAGCATGCATACAAACAGATATGCACCACCATGCGTGTAGCACTCACCGGCAGGTCCCCAGCGAGGGGTTGAACCAGGGATGCCACGCTGCCTCCAGCAGGAAGAGTGGTCTCAACCATGCACACTCACATGCACCGTCCAAGGGTAACCATGCACACTCACATGCACCGTCCAAGGGCAACCATGCACACACACACACACACACACACACACACACACACACACACACGCCTTTTCTCCCACTCACTCACCGGCATGTGCCCAGCGAGGGGTTGAACCAGGGATGCCACGCTGCCTCCAGCAGGAAGAGCGCCAATGAGCACTCAGGCATGCTCCCTCACACACACACACACGCATGCATGCACCGTCATGAACTCCCACTCACACACACTCTCACCGGCACGTGCCCAGCGAGGGGTTGATTGAACCAGGGATGCCACGCTGCCTCCAACAGGAAGAGCGCCGATGAGCACTCAGGCATGCTCACACACGCATGCATGCACACTCGCACGCACTCTCACCGGCAAGTCCCCAGCGAGGGGTTGAACCAGGGATGCCACGCTGCCTCTAGTAGGAAGAGCGCTCGTTCCAGGAGGTCTGCTGACGTCTGCACCTCGCCCACCTGGCACGGGGAAGAGCAAGGGAGGTTGGGAAAAATTGGCGTATGAGAATGCTTAGGCAAACGAGAAGGTGCTGCTTGCAACTACCAAAATGTACACACGCACACGCATCACCCCATACACATGCATCACCCCATACACATGCATCACCCCACCTGCTTGTAGAGTAGACCTTGAAAGAGCCAACAACCCCTCCGCATGGTACGGGTGGTGTGTCCCTTGCTGCTCACATCAAACCCCTCCGCGTGGTATGGAGGGTTGGTGTGAGCAGCAAACGAAAAGTCTGTTTGTAAGCTTCAGACAGCGCCAGCAACCCCTCCACGTGGTACGGGTGGTGGTCCACAAAGAGGGAGAGCTGGTTGGGGTCGTGGGATGCCACTGTTTGCTCAAACAGGTGCTGCTTGCTGCTATCACACTCCTCGCACACACCAGGTACCGTACCATGGTCACCTCACCTGTTTGTACACTTCAGAGAGCGCCAGCAACCCCTCCACGTGGTAGGGGTGGTGCGCCACAAACAAGGAGAGCTGGTTGGGGTCGTGCGACGCCACCGTCTGCTCAAACAGGTGCTGCGCAGCCCGGTACGTGGCCGACCGCACGTAGCGAAACACACGCACAGGGAGCGCAGGGAACGCCGCAGATACCCCACCCGCGCCCCCAGCAGCATCACCAACAGCTGCAGAGGCACTAGCCGTGGCAGCAGTAGTAGCAGCAGCAGCAGCGGCAGGGCCACCTATGCCTTTCCTCTCGCATACAAACTCCATGGTGAGTCCCTTCTCAGCCACTGCACCCGGCGGCCAGTGCTCCCTCTCCTGCACCAGCAGCGCCCGCCTCCCCACACCCCCTCCCCCTCCCCCTCCTCCACGCCTTCCCCGCACACCTCCCCCCCTCACACCCACCCCTCCTCCTGCTCCTCCTGCGCCTCCTTCTCCCCCTCCTGCCTGCCGCTCCACCTGGCGAATGACCTTGGAGCCAAAGATGCGCTTCAGCTCGTCGTCTGCTCGCAGGAACCGGGTCTCCACTGCTAGAAGCGGCCGCGCTGACGTCACAGGACCGACACCCCCTGCTGCTGCTGCCGCTGCTGATGACGTCATAAGATCCCCTGCTGCTGTTGGTCCTGTTGCTGCTGCTGCTGGTCCTGATGGTGCTGCTGGTCCTGATGGTGCTGCTGGTCCTGATGGTGCTGCTGCTGCTGCTTGGCCCTCAATTGCAGCCAAAGCGCGCTCTATTTCGGTGTCTTCCCTTCCCCCTCCTAGACCTGAGTTTTTCTGCTTTCCTCCTACTCCTGCATCCTCTCCTCCCCCTCCCCCCTTCTTCTTCCCCTTCCCCTTCTTTTTCTTCTTGCCACTCTTCCGTTGCCTTTCCATCCGCCTACGCTCTTCCTCCTCCTCTCCTGCCCCCTCCCCTTCCCCCTCCTCCTCTTCCTCCACATCCTCCTCCTTCTGCTGCCCCTTCGCATCTCTGCTCTCACCACCACCTGCAGTGCTCCCCTTTCCCTCCTCTTCCTCCTCCTCCTCCTCCTCCTCCTCTTCGCCTATCTCCGTCTCTCCCTCGCCCTGCCAGCAAGAAAAACGAAGGAAGAGAACCAAACACGGGACCCTGGAGCAAATGGACAAGGGAAGCAGCTTCGGGTTGGCCTATCTCGTGCTTTACTCTAATGACACACGAGTAAACTTCGGAGTCGAATCAAAGGGCACAGAGGAAGCAGGTTGCGGTTATCGCTTGGGAGAATCATAAGAGGTGTCAAAACTTAGAGTGATAAGCAGAGGAAGTAAGTTGGGGGCCGCTTATATCGTTCTGTACTCTATGGGAAGTCACATTTGAGAATCCTCAAAAGTGCTGTACTCTTGTGTTGCTCCAATGATGAACGAGATCGGAGAGGCAGCAAGAAGGTTTCCACGCAAGGTACAGACTCCACACGCAAGCTGTCGCTCAAGCTGTCGCAAATCCTGTTACACACGCCGTCGCACAAGCCCTTGCACCAGGCCACAATTGCGACCCAGCACACAGCACCTACATCCATGTCTAGAAGGTCGAACGCGATGACTTGAGTCAATTCAAAAGTCACCTCGTTCCAGCCAAGCACACAGCACGTACATCCATGTCTAGAAGGTCGAACGCATTCCGTGCAGCCGCTATCAGCTTCGAATCACTCTCATCCTCCTCTTCTTCCTCCTCCTCGTCCTCCCTCTCCTCTCCTTCCTCCCTATCCCCTTCGTCCGCTCTCCCCCCTCCCCCCTCCGCGGCCTCCGCGCGCTCCCCCTCACCAGCGCCGGAAGCCGCCTTCAGCTTCAAGCTTTCCGCTTCTCGCTGCTGCTGCTCCAGTAAACGACGGACCATGCGAGTCGACATGGCTATAGTAAACCACTTTGCATACGACTAGCCACGAAAGGACGTATTCGACAAGACTACTAGAGTGGGATTCCGCGGAAACCACGAGCAGATCGAGCGTGTTTGACCACTACTAGCCGCTGCAAGGTGACGTAAACCGTGGATTGCGGCCGACCGTTAGATTGCCGGTTGCGGATCGGGGAGGCAAGCTGCTGCGCCTACTGCGCCTACGCCTGTACTTGAATAGGTGCGCGGGAATCAGAGGCTAGAGCTCAGGTATTCCGCTGAAGCGATTACTGAACTTGCTCGTGGGAATCTTTGACAGGGCTTAACTCGGTAAGAGTACAATGGAGAATGAACTCTACCCAAATTAACAAAAAGGCTACGAATTATATTTGTTCTACACACAGACTCCACAGCTCCATAAGTCATCCAACGGATAAACAACATACAATAAAGAGTTATATGATTTTATCTATTATGTTCACTCTCTTCTCTCGCACGTACTAGTGTGCGAATACAAGAGAGACCAAATAACCTGAATGTGTATACATATAGCGGTATGCTGTACATGTAACGGTCTAAATATATGGGTACGTCACCTACGCGCAAACCTCAGCACCGAGTCTACGTAGGTTCGTAATTTTAGAGAGGTTCAGTGCGGTCCCAGCTCTTGACCTCGATAAAATATTGCGCCACCGCATTGAAACGTTTTAAACCTCGCGAAAATACTTCGAACCTGTGCGGGTTCGGTGCTGGGATCGTGGTGTTGACGCGTTCTGGGGCTTTTGTAGCCCTCGAATCGAACCACTGGGGAACCACCGACCCCTAGTTCCTTTGGAAATCTTCCAACCAAAGGAAATCGCCGGAATTCTGCGGTGTGATCGATGTGCTCCACATGACCCCGTTTCCTTCCTACCCTCGCCGCTGGTCTCATGTGCCCACAAAGCCCAGACTGGATTATGAATCTCGAGGGCGTGTTTCCATTCGAATTAAAGGAGTCCGTGACATCTTCACCCCCACTTCCAGTCGCCCACGCTTCAGATCTTCCAACTTTTCCCCCAGTTTCGCAGGTCCGATAATTCGCTGCCTCCAGGTTCAAGTATTTTTTACGGGCGCGAAATCAAGAACGAACGCAAACGCGCCCGTAGAACCGCCATATCTTCCCTCACGGCATGCCACCAGCAGCTATCTGTGCGCGCCAAAAACCGGAGGTATTGGATCCAAACCCACCCATACTCGCGCCTCAGGACTAGTTTCCTCGGACCCTCGACCCCACCACCCCGACCCACCCACCCACACCCCGTCCGCCCCATCCAAGCAACAACACGTTTTGCTTGCGGATTTGCAGACCCGCGCATTCACTTCCGCAGGCCTACTTACAAGGCGGCTCAGTCAAGCCTTCGCAGACTGCCGCAGTGGCAGTGGCGTCACCACCATACCTCGAACCTTCGCACTCCTCCCTTTCTGATAATTCGAGCTTATTCCTCAGATCCAGGGCATCCATCGACCATTCACTATCCATCAACCATTCTCCATCCATAGACCATATTCCGCCTTTTTTTCTGACCCTAAACACGTGAATCTCCGGCAGACTCGCTCTTCATCTTACCTTGCCCCCTAACCGTCAACAGACGCGTTCCTTGTCTTGCCTGGCCGTATCCTAAACATGGACCCAGTTGCACACCCATACCTAACTTATAAAACTCACTCGCGTCCCGGCGACATGATCGCACATTACGCCGACAGCGACGACGCCGGCAGCCCGAAGAAGCTTCGCCGAAGGACCCTGGCATCCGACGTGCTCCCGCTGCCGCTCTGGCTCACAAATACTGTCTTTTTGCTCACGTTCATCTTCTCGTGCTGCTACCTCCTCCAGCAGTGGCGCGAGCAGCTCTACTCGTCCGAGAAGCTTCACGAGCTGCTGTGGCGCGATCTCGTCGCCGTGTGCCTCGGTATGGGCTCCTTCATTTACCTTATAAACTTCTTCGGGGTCGGATTCGTGCAGTCGGCAATCGAGCAGAGCATGCTCTCCGAGGAGGAGGATGCGAAGGAGAGTGAAGAGGAGGATGAGGAGGGGGAAGATGAGGAAGAAGAGGAGAAAGAGGAGAAAGATCCAAAGGAGCTACTTTCCCGCCACCCGCGCAACCATCAGCGCAACCATCGGCGTGGGCATTATGCGCCCCCTCCGCCGGAGCCCTGGTATAAGCCCGAACCGATCCCAACTCCCGCTATTGCCACCCCAGCCACTGCCACCCCTCCCACTCCCGCCCCCGCCACTGCCACTCCCGCTACAATCACATCCGCTTCAAGCACTCCCGCGGCTCCCAAGTCCTGCACCTTCAAGCTCGACAGCTCATCCTCGCTAGAAGACGTCCCGTTAAAAGACCTCCCGGACGAGGACATCGCACGCGCCGTCGCGCGCGGCGCCGTCCCGATGCATTCCCTCGAAACCCAACTCGGCAACACCCTCCGCGCCGCGGCGGTCCGCCGGCGCGCCGTGGAGATCAAAACCGGCCGCTCGCTCGCGGGGCTGCCCCTCGAGAACTACGACTACGACGCGATTCGCGGCGCGTGCTGCGAAATGGTCGTTGGCCACGTGACGATCCCCGTCGGCGTCGCAGGCCCGCTGCGACTCGACGACGCAGAATTTTTCGTGCCGATGGCGACGACCGAAGGCTGTCTCGTCGCCAGCACGAATCGCGGCTGCAAGGCCATCTGCGCCGCGGGCGGCGCGCGCAGCGTCGTGCTGCGCGACGGCATGACCCGCGCGCCCGCCGTGCAGCTCCCCTCCGCGCTCCGCGCGGCGGAATTGAAGGCCTTCGCTGAAAACCCGCGCAACTGGGCGCTCCTCGCGGAAGCCTTCAACAGCAGCAGCCGCTTCGCGCGCCTTCAATCCCTTAGCGTCGCGGTGGCGGGGCGCAACGCGTTTATCCGCGTAGAAAGCACAACCGGCGACGCGATGGGCATGAACATGGTTTCGAAAGGCACGGGGAACGTGCTGGGCGTGCTCGGCGCGCAGTTCCCGGATATGCGCGTGGTGAGCATGTCGGGCAACTACTGCGCGGATAAGAAGGCCACTGCTGTGAACTGGATCAAGGGGCGCGGCAAATCCGTCGTCTGCGAAGTTACCATCCCTGGCCGCGTGGTAAGCGTTATTTTTTTTTGTTTTATTTAATTGGACCCTTTATTTATTCATTTGTTTCCAATTTATTTTTCTCTTTTGCAACTGTCAATTCGAACGCACTCGCGTCCAGCTTCTTTCACTCATCTTTTTCTTCCCTCTTTCCGCTCACGATCACCCAATGGGATTGATCATGCCTCAACCGTTCCGCACCCCTCCGTGTTCCCGCTACTTCCCTCCCTGCTCCCTCATGCCGCCCCTGCAGGTCGAGTCGGTGCTAAAGACAACAGTTGCCGCGCTGGTGGAGCTGAACACGACAAAGAACCTCGTGGGGTCGGCCATGGCGGGCGCGGTGGGTGGCAGCAACGCGCACGCGAGCAACATCGTGACGGCCGTGTTCCTCGCCACGGGGCAGGACCCCGCTCAGAACGTCGAGAGCTCACAGTGCCTCACGCTGCTCGAAGCTGCCAATGACGGGGCAGACCTGCACGCGTCTGTCACACTGCCGGCGATCGAAGTCGGCACCGTTGGAGGAGGAACCTTCCTTGCACCGCAGGTGAGAGAGAGATGAGCCTTCCTCGCATGAAAGATCAATGAGAGAAAGGGAGAGGGTGAGGGCAGTGCTGCAAAGGGGAGCAACGGATTGGCCACGGGGCAGGACCCCGCGCAGAATGTCGAGAGCTTGCAGTACGCTGCTCGAAGCTGCCAATGATGGGGCCGACCTCCACGCCCCCGTCACGCTGCCGGCGATTGAAGTTGGGACCGTCGGAGGAGGAACCTTCCTCGCACCGCAGGTGGGCAGGCTTTTTCCCTCCTTGTTTCTTTTTGCCAATCAGAGCAAAAGGTGTGCACAGTGCACCGGCCAGAGAGTTTCATTACAGCTTGAGCTATTCCACCTCAACAGTGGCCTTATGCCCCCCCTATGCCTCTTCCCTCTCTCCCAGGCGGCTGCGCTCTCCCTGCTGGGGGTGAAGGGGTCGCACAGCACGCAGCCGGGGGCGAACGCACAGCAGCTGGCGCGGGTGGTGGCGGCAGCAGTGCTGGCGGGGGAGCTGTCGCTCTGCTCCGCCCTCGCCTCGGGCCACCTCGTGCAGGCGCACCTCAAGTACAACCGCTCTACCGTCAACACTGCCGCTGCTGCTGCTGCCACCGCGGCTTCGGCTGTGACTGGCAGCGGTGCATCGCCGGAAGGCCTCTGCATGGTCAGCAAATGCTGACTTGGGCCGCGTTCCTTGGGGCTAGTTGATTCCTTCACTCGGTGCCTGAGTGGCCTAGCTAAAACCGCCATGTGGGATTGCTGACTGCGGCTGCTGCTTCCGCTGTTGCCGCCGCTGCTAATGATTGAGATGTTCTTGCGATGTTATTTCTCATGCTAGCTGTGCTGCAGTCAGCTATCCCACAAGGTGGATTATGAGCGTATGCATGCCTGCTGCTGGTGCATTGCGGGTTGGTTTGGCTTGGTTTGGTCTGGTTTGATTAGACTTGCTTTGGAACTTTGTGTTTGTCCCCCAAAAGTGATGTTTTATGCACTTTTGGGTTTGAATGCCCTTTCTTGAATTTAATGGTATTCTAGTATTTGAACCTTGTTCGTCCGCCAATAGTCTCTCTGGAACAAACATGTTCGTGCTGTTAAACTGTATTATGTTGGTAGGCTGTAGTGGGGTAGCCAATATGGGGTACAACCCCAACTAGGGTTTGCTACTTGTACCCAATTCTTCCATTCAATGCACCATTCTTGCCTAATTCCTTTGATATGGTATTCAGAGCAGGAGAGAGCACTGGGAGGCTGCTAAGAGGGTGCTGCGTTACTTGTGCAGTACATCAGGCATGGGGCTGGTGCTTGGAGGACGCGACAGAGTTGTCCTCACTGGTCACTCGGACGCTTCTTGGGTGGACGACCTGGCTACGCAGCGGTCGTCACAGGGTTACACCTTCAGCCTTGGCTCTGGTTCTGTCTCGTGGCGGTCCACCCGCTCTTCTTCTGTTCTCGGCTCTAGTTGTGAGGCTGAGATCTACGCCACAGCCATGGCTGCACAGGAGTTACGCTGGCTCACCTACCTGCTGACTGACTTGGGAGAGCGGCCTAGTTCTCCTCCAGTTCTGTACGGTGACAACAAGGCGGCCCTTGCCTTGTGTCAGGAGCACAGACTGGAGCACAGGACGAAGCACATTGCTCTTCGCTACTTTCTTGCTCGAGAGCTTCAGCAGCGCGGTCAGCTTCGGCTTGTGTACGTGGACTCGAAGGCCAATACTGCTGATATCTTCACCAAGGCGCTCCCGCCTAGTGATCATCAGCGGCACTGTACTTCTTTAGGCCTTGTGTCCACGTTTCCTCATTGCTTGACTTTCTTTGTACTGTACTTTATATATATCTTGCTGCTTGTCCTGTTTGTCAGAATGTGGAATGGATGATGCATTGATGTTGGTTGGGGTACATATAGCTAACCCTAAGTTTTGTACCCCCTAAGACAAACCTCACTATAGGCTACAACATTTGACACACCCCCATAGCCTAAGTGAGGGGTGTCTAGCAGAACCAAACGAGTACGGTCACAAGACCAGTCCAAGAAACAAGGCTCAGGGTGGATCACAACGTCACCACACAGTCTGAGCACAAACAACAGTGGCCACAAGGCCAGTCCAAGAAGTAACAGAGGTATATAGAAAGCAAAGTAAACAGTACACTCAAGTCTAAGCAACACGAGAACCAGTGTCAACAAGGCCTAACTGCACACAGCACCTCTGGTGGTCACAAGGCGGAAGCGCCTTGGTGAAGATGTCTGCAGTGTTGGCCTCGGACTCCACAAACTCAAAGCGAGCCTGTCCACGCCTCTGCAACTCTCGCAGAAGAAAGTACCTGACGTGAATGTGCTTCACTCTGCTCTCCAGTCGTGGCTCTCGACAAAGGAGAATAGACGCCTTGTTGTCAGTGAACAAGGTCGGTGCAGAGCTCGGCCGCTCACCAAGGTCGGTGAGCAAGAAGGTCAACCAACGCAGCTCCTGTGCCGCCATGGCACCAGCGTAGATCTCAGCCTCAGCTGTAGAGGTCGAGACCGAAGAGGAGCGCGTGGACCGCCAGGAAACAGCTCCAGAACCCAGGCTGAAACAGTACCCCTGAGTAGACCTGTGAGTCTCAGCGTCGTCAGCGTAAGAGGAGTCACAGTGACCAGTAAGTACGACAGACTGCTGCCCTCCAAGAACTAGCCCCACGCCTGACGTCGTCGCTAGGTACTTCGCCACCCTCACAGCTGCTGTCCAGTGAACAGGACGGTGTCTCCCTAGCGCAACAAAGCGCGCAAGAACGCTGAGAGGGAAGGCGAGGTCCGGGCGAGTACAAGTCATCAGGTACATGAGGCAACCCACAAGCTCTGCGTAGGGACCACTAGGCTCGAACGGCTCGTCAGGAAAGGGTCCAGTGAGTCTGTGGTCAACAGCAAGAGGTGTGCGCTGTACTGTGGAGTGCTGAAGCCCGAACCGCTGAAGGACCTGCTGCACCATGTGCGACTGTGAAAGTGTAATGGTGCGAGCAGCTCTGTCCCTGGTGATCTGCAGGCCAAGGTAGTGGCGCAGCTCACCAAGATCAGTGCAGGTGTGTCTCTTCTGCAGTTCGGACTTCACGTGTGCCAAAGCAACCCTGTCAGGGGTGGCGAAAACAAGGTCGTCAACGTAGACCAGAACAAAGAAAGGTGTGGGGCCACGACGAACGAACAGCGACGGGTCAGCAGAAGACGGCTGGAACCCAAGGTCAGACAGGGTAGAACGCAGGGTGTCGTGCCACTCACGAGGAGCCTGACGAAGTCCGTAAACCGGTCGCCTCAGCCTCCACTGGGTCCCAGGAGGGAAAGAGCCAGTGAAGGCAGAGGGACGACGCAACCAGACCTCCTCGTGAAGACTGCCCTGAAGGAAAGCAGTAGAGAAGTCGAGAGAGTGTAACTCGTAGTCTCTCTGTGCTGCTACGTGTAGTAACACCCGAAGAGTGGTCATCTTCGGGGTGGGCGCGAAGGTCTGAAAGAAGTCAACTCCCTCGCGCTGACTGAAACCTCTAGCCACGTAGCGCGCCTTGAAGACCGGAGGAGATCCCGGTGGCCGCTTCACCCTGTAGATCCACATGCCGTCGACTACGTTCGCCCCCGGAGGGGGAACCTCATCGACGTAGGTGCCTGTGGATCTGTAGGAGGCCATCTCTGCGTCCATGGCAGCTCTCCACTGAGAGGCCCAAGGCCCTGACACTGCCTCAGCGTAAGTGCGAGGAGTCGGAATGTCAAGGGCGTCGGGGTCACCCTCAGGGGCGAGGAGCATGGCACAGAGATGAGGGGAAGCGGCCGCCAGGAACTCTAGCTCAAACTGCCTGTCCTCTAGGGCGTCACAGCCAAGGGCAGACACACCCCCGACGGCCAGAGGACTGGAAGGAGGAGCAGCCACAAGAGCGGTGGCGAAGTCAAGGCGGCGGGTAGAGGCAAACTCAGTGACTGCGGCAGTAAGAGCGGACACAGAGGACACAGAGGCACGAGGGTGAGTAACAAGTGAGGCGAGAACACGAGAGAGAAGAGGACGGTACGTGCGGTAGTAGTCAGTGACAGGAGTAGGGAGCGACGCAGTGAGAGCCGACTCAGGAGGAGACGGAAGCACAGACGGAGACGGACGAGGTGGACTAGAACGAAGTAAGGCAGTACGAAGGTCAGTGAAGGGAACAGGAGACGAGGGACGAGCACGAGGGGAGCGACGAGAGGCCCAAGTCTGAGAAGGAGGAGGGGACAACGAAGACTGAGAACGAGGGAAAACAGCGGGAGAGGGGTCAGGAGGAGGAAGCGGAGGACCAGAGACGGGAGGAGAGGGGGAGGAGGAAGGAGAGGGAGAGGGGAGACCAAGGGTCCGAAGACCCGAGACAGGAGGAGGAGACGGCAGCTGCTGCTGCTGCGGCTGCTGCGGCTGCTGCTGCTCCAGCGGCTGCTGCCCCTGCTGCTGCTCCTGCTGCTGCTCCTGCTGCTGTCGCTCCTGCTCCTCGAGCCGCTGCAACTCTCTCTCCTCTCTCTCCAACTCCAGCTGCTCCTCACGAGCACGACGAACACGAGCCTGGAACCTGGTCGGGTAGGGGTGGGGGGAAGGAGTAGGGTCTGGGGCAGCGGCAGCCCCAGAGTCGACCTCCGAAGCACCAAGTACACCACCCCCAGAGGCAGCACCAACACCAGCTCCAGACCCAGGCTCTCCAGAAACCGAAGGAACACCCTCACCCCCAGACGCAGCACCAGCACCCCCAGACTCCGCACGACCAGTACCAGCCCCCGGAGGAGAAGAGTCCTCTGCAACCCGCGGCTCAGCTCCAACTCCAGCACCCCCAGAACCAGAGACCTGTACAGGGACAGTCGTAGGACCAACCTCCCGAGAGGGAGCACCTACAGGAGGCGGTGAGGAAGACTGTGGGGAGGGAGGCTGTACAGGGGGGGCTACCGAAGGGGGAGGGCTAGCCTGAGACACACCAGACGGGGCTGGACCAGGGGGGGGAGGCTGTACCGGGGGAGCAGGCGGGGGAGCGGCTGTCAGGAAGAGGGGGGGAGGAGGAACCGGGAGACCTCGACTGGGGTACCTGACGTAGTACGGGGTGGACTCCTCGAAACGGACGTCACGGGAGTCAAAGAACCGGTGAGAGGGAGGGTGGTAAAAGGTGAAGTCAGAGGAGTCCTCAGGGAAACCAAGGAAGACACAAGGAACGGCGCGAGGCGAGAGCTTGTCCGCGGAGGTGTCGCGGACAAGAGCCAAGCACCCCCAGACACGAAACCTCGACGCGACACCAGGGGACCCTGTCCAAAGACTGGTCGGTGAAGCCTCCGGCCGAGAGACGCGTGGCCAGAGGTTCAGCTGGTGCGCGGCGTACCTGACTGCGTATGGCCACAGGAAATGGGGGGCACGGGCGTGAGTCAAGGAGGTGCGGGCAATCTCCATGACCAGGCCTATGCGACGCTCAGCAACCCCATTCTGCTGTGGGGACTCCGGAAGCGTCCAGGACTGACGAATGCCCTGTTCGCGACAGAATCCAGCGAGAATGCCGGAGCGAAACTCGCCCCCGCGGTCGGAGTGGAGACAGCTGACACGACGACCACGAGTGTCCTGGGTGGTAAGCAACCACCTGATCAGCGTAGAAGTCACCTCAGACTTCCTCGCCAGGGGGAACACTGTGGTGTAGCGGGAGTAGTCGTCAACGACCACCAAAAAGAAACGCTCACGCTCAGGGCCAGGGCGAGGAGAGGGGCCCCAGACGTCCAAGTGCAGCGTCTCAAAAGGCTCGGTGGCCGGACGAAGGGAGGAGGAGTGAGGGGTGGCACGCAGCCTACCCTCGACGCAAGGACCGCACGGTGGTGCAAGGGACGGCGGCAGCGACGGCAAGACACGCGGGAGACCTAAGACCAGACGCTGACTAGACATAGCACGCAGACGTGGAAGAGAAGGGTGTCCCATCCGGTGGTGCCACAGAACGGTGGGGTGGGCAAGTGACCGACAGGAGCAAGACGCAGCGACTGGACTGGACGCGACAACCTGAGGGGACGGAACCACCTGGTGAGACGCAGGGAGGAGACTAGGGGGAGGGACAGGAACTGGGAGGAGTGGCCGCTGCGACGGCGGCCGCTGTGGCTGCGGCTGCGGCTGCTGCCGCTGCTGCTGCTGCGGCTGCTGCTGCTGCTGCTGCGGCGGCTGCTGCTGCTGCTGCAGTCGCTGCTGAGCGCGCGGGCGAGTGTGAAGAGTGTAGAGACCGGAGCCCGGCTCAGCAGCAAAAGTGGCGAGGGGCTGGTAAGAGTCCCCGTCAACACACACCGCAGTCTCTCCAGAAGGCTCAAACCACACACCCACGTGCTGACTCACGAGGGGTCGCACGCCCACCAAGTTCCGGGAGAACGAGGGGACGTGAAACCCAGTGAGAGACCCAGAAGGAGCAGCCGGACACGGCAAGGTGGTAGTGTGACGCGCGGTGACTGGTCCCGAAGTGGGATCAGCCAGCGCCACAGAAACAGGCGCAGGAAGAGGCGTAAGTGTCGTGCTGTCACGAAAGAAGCAGTGAGAGGCTCCAGAGTCCAGCGTGAACGACAGCGAACCGTCCTCTGAGGTAGCCGCTGGACTAGAGTCTACACAAGAGCCTACACTAGCAACAGGCAACTGAGCAAGGCTAGCACCTAAGCTAACAACACCAGAGTAAACAGAGTCAGAAACACTAGAGTCAACAACAGCATACATAGCATGAGGAGCACCAATCAGATCAACTAACTGCTCAGCAGACATGCCCCACAGAGCGGAGCCGTAGCGCTGAACCAGAGGAAGCCAGTCAAGGGCAGGACCGCCAACCCCGTAGGCCAACCGGACCGTGTCAGTGAGCTGAGCAAAGCACTGACCAGGGGGGTGAAAGCGGCCACAAGGGTGGCCCCGACGAGGACCTGTCAGAACCTGATAGGTGCAGGGAGGGTAAGCAGCACCACGCTGAGGCTGACGCAGCCCCGACCCCGGAGCCAGCTGCTGACGCTGCTGCTGCTGAGGCTGCTGGGAGGAGAGGGGCTGCTGGTGCTGCTGAAGCTGCTGCTGACGCTGAGCCTGGTACCACGCCGCTGCTCCACCTAGCGGGGCCGGCAGTACAGGAGACGACTGACGAGCTCGGGTGTCGCCACCACCAGCAGGCGCAGTGGAGTCACCAGCCGCTGCACGAGAGGTCTCTCCAGACGCTGCACTCCCACCACCGCCAGTCGCAACAGCACCCCCACTACCTCCGCTACCTCCGCCTCCACCTCCACCAGAACCACCTTTCTTGCCCCCCTTGCCGCGGGACCGCGACGCAGTCGTAACAGCAGCTGCAGTCGCGTCAGTAGCGGCAGTGGCAAGAGAGGCAGTGAAGGTGGGTAACTGCGGGACTGTGCACCCGTGGAAGAGTGGGGGGGGCACAGCACCAGAGGCGGCAGCTACCGAGCGAAGGTTGCTCTCGACGTCCTTGAGCGCAGACTCAAGGACCTCGACTGTCAGCTCACTAGGGTGCTTCAGCAGGAGCGCGTCACGTACGGAGGCAAGGCGGTCAGGGGGGAGGAAATAGATAGTAATCGCCATGGGGGGAGGAAGCAGTGCAAGCTGTGCCTCAGTGCAAGCAGCGCGGTAACTAGCGTCGAGCGAGCGGAGGTGAGCGATCAAGTCAGCAGAGCGCTCAAACGAGGCGAGATCAGGAAACAGGAACGGGAGGAAAAGACGGCCAAGAGAGACAGTAGCGGGAGTAGAGTAGCGGGCCTTAATCGCAGTGAGGTACGCAGCAGCGGTGCGAACCTGAGTGAAGTGGACCTCCTCTGACTCAGGGAGGAGGCTGCTGAGTGCGATGCAGGCCGCAGCGTCACGTGACGTCCAAGCCGTCCTGTCAGCGCGCTGACGGGCAAAGCGAGCCGTAGCAGCATCGTCAGGGGCAGGACCTAAAGCGGCAGGCTCGGGGGGCTCGGGGAGGTCACCAGTAGCGTGCGACCAGAGGGTCTCGCCCCCCTGGACTTGACTCTCTAACAGACGGCGAGCGCGAAGAAGCCAGACGGAAAAGTCAAGAGGTCTACCGTCAGCGTCGAAACGAAGAACTCGCGGAGTCGCCATAGCGAAAACTAACGCGAACGAGCAGGCGAGTAACAGCAGGAGGTAAGAGGCAAATTAGGGTTCAGGTGGGACTTAGTCGCAGCGGAAGAGCGGGCTAGAGCGACGGGCCAGGGCGTAGGGTCGACGGGACGGGGGAAAGGGCGGGCACGATGTGACGGGTCAGGGCGACGCGACGGGGGAGGGCGACGCGACGGGGGAGGGCGACGGGACGGGGAAGGGGGACGCGACGGGGCAGGGCGACGGGACGGGGAAGGGCGACGCGACGGGGCAGGGCGACGGGACGGGGAAGGGCGACGCGACGGGGCAGGGCGACGCGACGGGGCAGGGCGACGGGACGGGGCAGGGCGACGTGACGGGGCAGGGCGACGGGACGGGGCAGGGCGACGGGACGGGGCAGGGCGACGGGACGGGGCAGGGCGACGGGACGGGGCAGGGCGACGTGACGGGGGGAAAGGGCGCGACGCGACGGTGGGAAAGGGCGCGACGCGACGGGGGGAATGAGCGAGACGCGACGAGGGGAAAAGGGCGCGACTCGACGGAGGGGAACGGGCGCGACGCGACGGGGGGAAAGGGCGCGACGCGACGGGGGGAAAGGGCGCGACGCGACGGGGGGGAAAGGGCGCTAGGCGACGGGGGGAAGGGCGCTAGGCTCGGCACTAGGCGCGGTAACAACGGAACCGGTACGAACGAGAGGTAGGATCAGGCTCGGGAGATACGAACGGAGAACGGAGGAACGGGATCCCACAGGATCCTAACCTAACTGATACCATGTCAGAATGAGGAATGGATGATGCATTGATGTTGGTTGGGGTACATATAGCTAACCCTAAGTTTTGTACCCCCTAAGACAAACCTCACTATAGGCTACAACATTTGACACTGTTCTATATCTAGCACTGCATGTGAACTGGCCTTGTAGCCTTTGCTTGTGCTCAGAGTGTGGTGACGTTGTGATCCACCCTGGGCTTTGCTTTGCTTTGCTGGACTGGTCTTGTGACCCTTTGTTCTCCCCCACTTTGCCTATGGGGGTGTGTTAAACTGTATTATGTTGGTAGGCTGTAGTGGGGTAGCCAATATGGGGTACAACCCCAACTAGGGTTTGCTACTTGTACCCAATTCTTCCATTCAATGCACCATTCTTGCCTAGTTCCTTTGATACGTGCCATTCTGATTTACCCTAGTGAGTGGACTTTTTTGTCACATCAGATAGCAACAACTGAAGACTCGGGGAACAACTGAAGTTAGGGTACATTCCGCTGTGGACATGCGTCCCAATCGATGTGTCCCAATCGATTCTACCGCACTGAATCTTATTACACCGAATTACACCCTAGTTTCAATTTTTTCGCTTCTCTGGTTTAGTGCGGTTCGGAGCGGTACACCCGATTGGGACACATCGATTGGGACGCATGTCCACAGCGGAATGTACCCTTAGTTGCAGCACTTTATTACCGTACTTGGCAATCTGGAAAAACTCGTCTCTCCTAAGGAAATCTACCTGTAATTATGTTGTGTGCGGATCAAATTTATTTGTTTCTTTGTTTCCAGCTCAAAACCGAGTGTAGCATCTTCGATATTGTTTCCAACCTAGGGAAACCCGGAGCCCTGGGGTCAAAATACATCGAGCGGGCGTGTAACGCACGTCACCCCCCATTGACGAATTTCGACTCTGCTCGCATTCTTGTAAGTGGTCGATTTGATTTCCGGTAATCCACACGCGCAACGTATGCTGCTCGTTTTCCGCGATTCGTCGTCTCTTATTCATGGCGACCACCACGCTCGCCCCCTCCCTCCGCGTTTCCCGCTTTAGCTCGAACCGCCTCCGCCCCTGTCCGTCCGCTCCTCTTCCGCTTGTCCCCCTCTCTGCGACAGTTCCGCGCACCCCCCAACTCCGCGCCCGGTTTCTCCGCGGGCATTTCCGCGCAAGCGTGGGGAGCAGCTGGAATCCCGCGAAAGTCCCATCAGACGACGATGACGTGGCTGCAGCTTATTCGTTGAGGGCAAACGCATCTAGTTTAGGGCCGAGCGGACAGGAGCGAGGGGCGGGGAGCGTGGGAAGCGGAGGGGTAGAGTCGCGGGGAGAAAGAGACCCGTGGGGACGGAGGGAACCTTTGGGGGGAAGAGAATCTTTGGAGGGGAGAGAACCGCTGGGAGAGACATACGCGCGGGGGGAGAGAGAGCAGCAGCGCGGAAATGCGGGGGATTGGGGTTCGTCGTCGGGGGAATGGCGGTTATCGACTGGCGGTGGTAGCAGCAGTCAAGGACTAGATTATGATTTAGACCCGCTAAGAAGCAATTCCGGTTATCCTTATAACTACCACACAGGCGACGAAGACCCAGAAGCTAGTATGGACGCTGCAGATCCTTACCCACCGTCCCCCCGTTCCGCCATTCCCCCGCTCCCTTTACCCCGCACTCCGCCCACTCCCGCACTCCCCCGGTCGTCTCCCCCGCAACCGCGCCAGTCCTCTCCGCCTCCCCCCTCTCCTTCCCCTCCGCCACCAACGCCGCGGTCGTCGAACCCGTTCGCGTCGGTGAGCAAGTGGGCGTTAGCGGGGGTTTTCTTACTGGGGATAGGCGCGGGCGTGTCGGTGGACACGGTGCTGAACGTGGAGCCCAGCAACGTGGCGTCCAGGGAGGTGATTGACCGCCAGACGCCCAACCCGGACATCTGCCTCGCCAACGGCATGAGCGCCATGGTGCTCGATCAGCGGCTTTTTATTTCCTTTAACCCGTGAGAAAAAAAAAAAAAAAAAAAATCCCCTCAATTTCCCTCACATTTCCTGTTTTTTTTCCTATTTTTAGGAGTTCAAACATGCCCTTTTTCGGACAGTAAGTGGGGTTCGTAACCATGGCAGTGGTAACCAGGTAACCAGCCGGCCATGGGGCGGGCGTGTTGGTGGACACGGTGCTGAACGTGGAGCCCAGCAACGTGGTAACCAGGTGGTAACCAGGACCATGGTTTCCCCTGCTCTTACTCCCCTCCCCCTTCTCCCCTGCAGCTTCAACGTGCATGTACCACAAGCAGAGGTGAAGCCGGGGTGTGCTGCGTGTGTCCCGCCCCTTAGTTACCTCTCTTTCTTCCCCTGTCCCCTGCTCTTACCTCCCTCTTCCCCTCACTGCCTCCCTCATTCTCCTCGCGCTCCTCTCAACCCCCTGCCCCTTCTTTCCCTGCCCGTGTCCCTCCCACCCCGCCTGCGTACCTGTTTCCCTCCTGTACCCCACCCCTGCATCTTCAACGTGTATGTGTCGCAAGCAGAGGTGATACCGGGGTGTGTGCTGGCCACAGCAACTGGCACGTGCTGGACTCGTGTCCTTGGGATATGCAAAAGAAAATACTACCTTCCCTCACTGCCTCCCACCTCTCCCCCCTCCATCCCCGCTGCAGCCTCAACGTGTATGTAACTCAGGCAGAAGTAAAGCCAGGCTGTGTGCTGCAGCAGAGCAACCGGCACGTGCTCGAGTCCAAGGGCCTCGTGTCATCGGACCATGCAAGCATTCCATCAACACCTTCTCCCACTGCCTCCTGCCTCTCCCTCCTCCCTGTGTCCTTCATTTCCCTTTCCTCTTCCCTCCCACCCCGCCTGACAATTTTCTTCCCCCACCTCTCACCCGCTCCCAGCTTCAATGTGTAAGTGTCGCAAGCAGAAGTGAAGCTGGGTTGTGTGCTACGGCAGAGCAACTGGCACGTGCTCGAGTCCAAGGGCCTCGTGCCATCGGACTATGCATGCACAACATTTTACTCCTTCCCTCACTGCCTCCCGCCCCTCTCCAATGATCTCCTCCTCTCCTCTCGCCCCCCTGCCCCCTCCTTTCCTGCCCGCTTCCCTCCCACCCTGCATGCGAATCTTTTCCGCTCCCCACTCCCGCTGCAGGTTCAACGTGTATGTATCCCAGGCAGAGGTGAAGCCGGGGTGTGTGCTGCGGCAGAGCAACTGGCATGTGCTCGAGTCCAAGGGGCTCATTTCATCGGATGAAGTGCGCGACTGCAAGCGCAACATGAACACGTTTGGGTTCGTGGGTGATCTGAGGGAGTCCCCTGAGGTGTCGTGCGTGTACCACAGTGAGACGGCGGAGAATCTGTTTTTGGAAGATGCCAGCAAGTCAAAGATCAGGATTGGGGGGAGTCAATGAAGTGGGAGATTCTGACTTGGGGGGGTGGGGGGGGGCGGGGGGCGATGAATAGGGGTTGTTTTTGAATTTTTGAGGGGAAGAAAGGGTACAGCAGACTTATGTGTGCTTGTCATGTGTGGCAGCAACCTGTTCTGGAGGAAGTCATTATTCTGCATTGGAGTTTTTTTGAATGGTGAAGGATGTGGTCTTGTCGCAGTCTGAGTTGAGTGGGACAACTCTTTCCTGCATGCATTTACCAGTACAGACTGTTCACAGACTGCCCGTACATATCTACCTGAACAGCTGCAACGACGGCAAGGTTATGACAGGGTTGTAGGGTACGAAATTAGAGCACCAATTAACCTTGGTGAGCAAGAAACATGAAAAATTTCTAAGCGTTTATCGCTTTCAAATTTGTGTATTGTGAAAGCGAAGCTGACTGTAACGCAATTTTGTGCATCGTCGAAGCGCGGTATTCGCCTTCTCCGAATATATAATGTGGGCTGGGGTCATTCTTCCCCCACCCACGTCTCTCATTTTTACAATCACTTAAGTTCAATTCCCACCCACCCTCCCCTGGCTAGTCATCCTCGCAAGTAGCAGTTCTTACACATCTTGTTTGTTCTTACATCTATATTATTGATAGGAACTATTGTACTTGAGCCCATTGTAATTGAGAACGATGCCAATTGCTACAGAAGCAAGCTTTCTCAATTTGAGCTCACTGTAATCAATCCTCTCCATCTACGTGTGGAGGGGTCAAGTGACGTAACAAGTCGAGGGTTTCATGAAAGAGCAATTTACATTCATAAACATTACAGCCGAAAGAGCGTCTACCCTTTTAGGAGCGCCCATGTATATGCTAAGCTAGCTAAACGAAGCGAACATTTACATGGAAGCACCAGAAGAATATCATTCGCTTGGAACAATCTAAGCCCTGGGTTGCTGTATGACCAGGGCCCGCTGCTGCTTAGGCTTGGCGACAATCTTAGAAACGGTTCTCTCCTTAACGCGGTCGTGCTTCCACGACTTATTGACCTTGTTAGTAAACTCTTGTGTCAAGCCGCATGGCTCGCTCGACCGCTCCGGAAGTTCTTTACGACTGCCTGCCATCTCCATGAACGGAAATAACAAGTGTGAAAAGTAAGGAAACACGAAAACAAGGAACAATACGTAAGTCCATGAAATGCTGTAGTCGTGGGAAGTAGGAAGAAACGGGTCCATTGCGTAGAAATGACGCTTACCTAACAGCCCTTGAAACTGCTCGGCGGAAGAGTCTTGCAGAATCTCGTCAAAATCCTCGTCTACGTCCAGTACGTAAAGCTCTTCTTGCAACTCTTCATCAACCATGTCTTCCAATAATTGCTCGTCTACCAACTCCTCCTCCTCGTTGCGGTTGCCTGACTCAGTTACTTCAGCTTCCAAAGTAGCGAAGCGCTCGCGAAGCCAGTAGTCTCTAAACGCGGGGGAATTTTGCACCTTGTCCCACCATTCTTGGCTGAAATCCTCGGTGTTTCTAAACGCAGCTGGGACGAAATTAGGAGCATCAGGATTCAGCAACGATGACATGGGCGTGGGAGAACTTACTGCCATGGTGGTCAACGAATGTAACTAAGATGTCAAACAAATCTTACTGGCGCGAATAGGGCGAGAAGCTCTAGTAGGCAAGGAAGAACAGGAAGGAAAGGGATGAATTCGCGTGAGGAAAACAATAATAATCGGTTGCTGTGTAGCTAATGCGTTGGATTCTAGGACGGCCCCTTTATCAGTTCGCAAGAGGAGTCTCAGGGCTAGCATGCTTCCCTGCACTCACCCTATGGGCCTGCGTTGGTATGCAGAACACCAGACCACACCAGCCCTCGGTATGGGGCTGCTCTCTCGAAAACAACGGTGTTCGGTTCCGTACGTACCGTTGCCACGGTACGGACTAGGCTTGGTTCTGGTAAGTCTGGGGGATGAAGCTTGTCAGAAGGTAAGTTAAGAGGTTCGGCAGGCTGGCAGGTCCCTAGGCTTGCGTGTACACCCTCATTCTCAGTCTACGCACAATCGGGAGCAGCGACAACAGTGTTGTCAGGTAGCGTCTCTGTGCTTGTGGCCGAACCCCCTAATGTTGCCAGGCACACCATGCACCAAGCGCCAAAACAGTAACATTCGAAACGACTTGTTCACTTTGTCCTACACTGTGGCCAAAGATTCCACATCAAAACACACAAGAAACAGACAATTCCTAACACAGGTTCAAAACACATACAGAATATCTACGTTCGGTAGAAAGGGGTAACGTATGGTAGAGCGAAAAGCAACGGCAGCCAACCACACATGTGAGCGCACTGTACACTTCCTGCCAGTCAAAGTCAACAGCTGCATTACCAACGTGGCAGTCGTGATTGTGCTTGTAGAGTATGTGCATGCACCATTCTAGGCACGTTGCAGTCACTACAAGCGTTCGGTGCATGTGGCGATTGTGCACAGACTGAGAATGAGGGTGTACCTCAGGTAACCAGGAACCGCGAATTGCGATTACATCACATATCTGTCTAGGTTCGAGGTCCAGTCATGCAGGTTGGTTGGTGGTGGTCAGGAGGAATGCGGTTTGGGTGAAACTAAACATGCAGAGGTGGCGTCATCGGTCGCAAATCACGGAACGAAGAAGCCAATCACTGACCTTGAGAAAGGAGATCCAGCAGGGATTCGACGTGTTTTCCATGTGACACACCGCGTCAATGCTAGTCCACACGCGGATAGGGACTACAGAACCCCACCAACCAACCACAATCGAGCACATCCAGACCAACGCGACACCTCCAAGCACAGCAATAATTTTAGGGGTAGTTCATGACACTTCAATGATATACGCGATAGGGATGTCCGTGGAAACGGGAACAATCTGGAACTGTACATTGATGGGCATTCAGTCTTCAGGACATACATTCCATTGGATGGTCATAGAATCCGCAAATTATCAAGTGTCTAAATTCCGCTTACCATTGCAAAAATCTCGTAGAGAAAATGAGGAAAATATTTTTGAACGTTACTAAATTCGCAATTCATTATTACTGTTGATCTGAATGAACATGCGTGCAAAAGTGTCACAGTATGTAGCAGAATAGGGATTTACTAGAAATAGGGCGGCACAAGTAGGAATGTCGAGAATGTTTCCATACTCCGTACTCTATATTATGCACTTTAATAAAGCGTAACATATGTGACAAATATATAAGCATGCTTTGACACACCCCACACTGGCTAAGTGAGGGCATCAAAACGAGCAAGAGAGCCATATGATCAACATATAAGTGAAGCATAACAGGCCCTACGTGTCATGATAGGCTCTTAGCTAGGAAACTATGTTGGGAGCCATGGCTAGGGTTTTGGACTTAGGAGCTAGGAAAGTGGCGAGAGAAAAGGAGATGGCCAAAAGGGGGCTGCACTAGAAAGAGTGGTACAAGATATAGGCAAGGCAAAGGGTACACCACCAGCAGTTGATATAACTAACCTAATACACTAGTAAGCTGTAGGCAGGTATAAGATATGCAATATAAATTAACACACCCCCGTAACTGCCTACGGCTATAGCTAGTGGTGTCTGGTAGCAGGTCGTATGAAGAGCAGTAGCTGTAGCTGGGATACGCACAGAAACAGCGGTGGCTGATCGGCAGCACCTCTGACTGCCAGAACGGAGAGAGGAGAGTGTAGGCTGCCGGTGTTACACACCAACGGTTGGATAGGAGGAGGAAGCGTGGCGGAGGGCGTATGCTGCCGGTGTTACACACCAACGGTTGGATAGGAGGAGGAAGCCGGTGGTGTACATGAGGCGGATGAGAGGAGGAGGAAAGGTGGAGGCCATTGGAGAGGCGGCTGACTGATCATACCCGCCACCCTCACACCCCCTTTCCTCTCCCCCACTGCAGCAGGGGCGGCAAGGGAAGAGAGGAGGAGGCGGTAGGTGATGTAAGCACGTTCCCGCCACCCCCTCACCCTCCCCCCCACAGTAGCAGATGCGGCAGTGAGAGAGAGTCGGTGGGCGCTGAAGGTGCAGGTTCACGGGGGCTTAAGCACCCCGGTAGTCATGGGCTCGAGCCCCGCCACCTCCCCCCCGCAATGGCCACCGTAGATTAACACGGCAGCAAGTGCGGGGCAGGGGAGCGGCGCAGTTGCGCGCGGCCGTACGTGGCTGCGCGCGGCTGTGCGCGGCTCCTTCGGCTGCGCATAACGAACGCGGGACGGGGCGGGTAGCACAAGGCGGGTGAAGAGGCGACGGGACGACGGGGCAGCGCGAGCCGCCTTGCTCGTCGCCATGACAGCAGCTGTGACGGGGCGATGGGACAGCGGGACTGGCAAAACAACGTCGCGTGCAGCAGGCGTGCGACGGGCAGAAAATCGACGCGCCCTAAGGCGCGCGACTGGCATTTCGTGACGTAAGCGGTGGGCCCATTGAGATTGGGTGCCACGGTGGAACCCGCTCTGATAGCATGTCATGATAGGCTCTTAGCTAGGAAACTATGTTGGGAGCCATGGCTAGGGTTTTGGACTTAGGAGCTAGGAAAGTGGCAAGAGAAAAGGAGATGGCCAAAAAGGGGTTGCACTAGAAAGAGTGGTACAAGATATAGGCAAGGCAAAGGGTACACCACCAGCAGTTGATATAACTAACCTAATACACTAGTAAGCTGTAGGCAGGTATAAGATATGCAATATAAATTAACACTACGTTATCAGGAATTTTCCCATGAAATTCCCGATTTACAGGGTTTTTTTTTACCTACCCTGAATTTCCAGTGTTCAGCTTTTCCTGGGGCTAATTTTTCAGCCTTCACATGCCACATTGTTACGAATAGTAATATTTGATATTACTGTACACTCCTCACCGCAGCAAAGAAAAGCACGCAATATCGGGAATGATCGCGAAGCGTCAGACGGTTGGAATTGAATCGAAGCGTCGGACGGTTACAGCACATCTGGACCGTCGGGAGCAGACGGCATCGGGCAGCAGCAGGCAGGATGGTTTTGGCGGGAACAGTTACGAAACTGTACGCGCCGCACGGTTGGGGATGTATTTGAATAAGGGAATGTACCCCTTAGAGTACATGGCTAGCTAGGTCGTTTCGTCTTCCCTGTACTCATATTTATATTTCCTGTATTTGCATGTTTTAAATAATCTCAAAGCATTTTACATTCACTCTGCTATTGAGGTCAAGGGCCCACCAACATTACTTCCTTGCGTGCGAACCTTCCTGAGTAGATCCTAGGCCACGATCAACTTCTGATCGCAGCATGGTATCAGAGCGGCTCGGGAATCCTTCGCACTGCCACTCCCGAAAATTGCGACATTCGGAAAGTGGCGTCCGGCACACGCTCACGAGTGAAGATGGCCGGAGGATCTGGTGGTCAGACTAATCTGACGGCTGAAGCGCAACCCAACCCGGCTGCGACAAGCGAGAACACGACGACAATCGGCTCCGAAGTTCTCGCACAACTCGTTCAGCGACTCACCAGCTTGGAGCAAGGGCTCCAAACATTGCGGAATGGCGATGCGGGAACATCCTCGCAACCCTCTCAACCGGCCCCGACTGGCCAGAACGCCACCCCGCAAACTTTCTCCCTCGACACCAATGGCTCAACCCCCAAGACTCCCCGTCCCAGTGAAGAGGCAATTCTCTCTGCTCAATCAAGGTTTCTCAGCATATCAAAAATAAAGACAAGTACATGTTTTGACGGCAGAGACTTTTATACCTGGAGCTTCGAATTGGAGCTCCTGCTGCAGAACGCCCAAATCTTCCATTACTTCGACGGGAGCTACGCGGAGCCTGCTGAGGACACCGACGACGCCAGAACGAGGTATTACAACGAATCGCTGATGGCGTACGGGGTGCTCCTGCGGAACATGTCGCCGGCGGAGCAGCTCAACATTCGTTCGTACAAGACCTCGGCTGCTCCAGCCCTCAACGCCTGGCGGCACCTGACAGGAGTCTATCAGCCCAAGGACTTCGTCTCTTCGAGTCGACTGCTCCAGGAACTACTGGAAACCAAGATGACCGCGAGGGAGAAGGTCAACAACTACCTTAATCGCTGTCGGAGCCTTCGCGATCAAATCGTGAAGCTGGGAAGCTCGATCTCGGAGGAGAACTTCGTCAATATCGTGCTTCAAGGGCTCGGCCCAGAGTGGCGGCCCTGCAAGGCGCTTCTCCGACAGCAGGGGGTCATCTCGGAGGCCGCCCTTTGCGCCGCCCTTCTCGTCGAACAGAGGGATATGGATCAGCAGCGACCTGCGCCGCGACGAGAACGCGAACGGCTCGCCTTCTACGCCGACAACACTGAAGAGCGAAAGCCACGGCGCCTCTACTGCAAAATCTGCAGGAACTTCGGGCATTTGGCAAATCGCTGCAAGCACCGATCTCGCCCTCGCCAGACCAATCCGAGCACCTGGTCCGGCCGTCAAGACGCACGAGGCGACGTGCGTCCAGCCCAGGGGTATCAGCCCCCTCCCGCGCGCAACCTGAACCCAACGGTTCAGCATCAGCAGCAGCAGCCGTCATCGACTGCCCCAGCTCGCAACGTCATGAGCAACATGGCCATGACAGGCGAATCGCGTCGTCGCCGCGTGCGCTCACCTTCACCTGAGCCGGCACCGCACCCCATTGGCGCGTTCAACAACAACAACCCCTTCAGCCCGCGCCACGACTTCACCGACGACGACGATCAGGACTGGAACCTCCCAGTCCCGCTGTTTGAAAAACTCCCGCACGTATCTGATATGCGGGTGGCGCCACTTGATTGGCTCTCGCGCGAGCAATTCTCAAAGTTTGACACTCCGCACATCGTCACGCCGCGACTGGCGCTGCTCGCACGTGACGACAACAAGCGCTACAACACCTGGTACCTGGACAGCTGCTGTGGACAGCACATGGTGGGGTCCGTCTTAGCGCTACATATCCAACGCTGTCCCCACCCCTACTGTCACTTACGTCACCGTGGCGAACAATACGCGCCTGCGCGCAAGCGCGCAAGGCATCGTCGTGCTTAAAGCACGCGAAAGCCGCACGCACATCACGCTTAATGATGTGCTGATCGTCCAGAACCTGCGCTTCAACCTCTTGTCCGCCGCACAGCTCATGGATTGCGGCGTTGACCTCAGCACGGACCGCGCGACGCGAGACATCCTGCTGCACTACGAAGCACGGAACTTTCCCCGCTGGCAGATCGGACGAGCGCACTCCGAAAATGGAGTGTACGTCCTGGATTTCGACATCCCCGACTGCAGCGGCGACTCGCACGAGCTGATTGAACTTGTGCCACTACGCTTCGAGCACATCCACCGCAGGGACTGGAAGCACCCTGACGGCAGACCGTGGGTGCCGCATCATCCCCACCCACGCGAAACGGCGCTGCATAATCCCGATCCCGATGGCATCTGTCGGGATTGCCACACGCCGACAACGTCAACGAGCGCGATCGCCG